ACCACAGACCGAATTTTTTTTGGTTTTGGCCTAATAGTACAGAACATAACCGACTCCAGATGCCCATTTCCATGGAGCAATTTGTTTCTGCGTGGATCAATTCTAATTGGGAAATATGTCAAATGGTAACCCTTACATGACCGCAGGGGCAGGAACGTCCTTCGTCACTTCAGTCCCCAGGCAGTTTGTTTGACATTCAGTGGTGATCACATAAGGCTACATTAATTCATGGATACATACATGTACATATACTCTCAAGGTGATGACTTCCAGCAAGGTTAAAATCAAGGGTACACCCATTAATTCATTTTCCCCGTTTCCTCTGCCCAAGGATAGGGTGGATTTGTTGACTGTAAGAATATTGCTGAATTGACAGAACCATACACGTAGCCAGTGCCAATATGATGGATAGAACACATGAAACATGAAAAGCCTGAAAACTTTGTTCGATTTTAATTTTTTTTTTCACTAGGCAGTCGGCTACTGAAACAGACTCTTAACTAGTCCGTGGGTATTTTCACTAGCCCGCATGGTTTCCTTTTTTTAAAAGTGTCTCATAAACAACAATATACGCACATACATTTAAAACGTATATATCCTGAGGCAATCTTGTCAGTGTTTTTAACAAACAGATCGAATAAGTTAATCCTAAACAGTTAATAAAATAAGACACAAATTGATACAGGTTTGCTTTAATTCAGAATTTAATGATATATTTCGTCCTGTTCTTTCATCTTTGCCATAGTCCAATAATTTTTGAGTCGCCAGCCGGGCATGGGCGTCGCCAGGATTCTTTCTAGAGAGGGGCAAAGCACATATTTCCCCCCCCCCCCCCGAAATCCCTGTACTTCTCCAGCATGTTCTCGATTTATCATTTTTCGAGGGTGGGCAGGGACAATTTGCCCCCCTCCCAACCCATCAAATTAACAGCAATGTGACTGCGCGCCCCCTTTTCAAATCATATACTACATCAGTGATTTTTGGTGTGACCCACCACACATTAAGTATCCACTATTATTCATGTGAATCATAAATTCTTGTCAGAAAAGTTGTTTAAATGATGTCTGTCTGGCTTGAGCATGTGATATTGTTTCCCCTGTCTACCTCTGGCCCTGCACGTACTTGTATGTTTATGATTTGTATGTTTTGGGGTCCAGCAGGTTGACCCCATGTTTTAGCATCCCCTCAATCAATTAATTGCCCTGCACCTGTTGCATCCAACTTTCATCTGGTGCCCTTGGACTTCCCTATTTTCATAGGAAATCTAGGCCAGAATGTACTGCAATTTTTTTTTAATCACAATCCGGTTGTCGTTTTCACTTGAACTTGGAGCAATTGTTGTTGATTTGATTACCTCCGAGTGAGACGTTGTAGCGAGGGATCTATCAGCTCAAAACCTCATAAGCCTGTTTACATTCAAGGGGACTATAAGTGGCTTTTGCATTTGAGAGTTGACTGATCGGATTTACAGCTGTGGAATTTGTTGCGAATCAGTTTGTTCCTATTGTACAGGGTGAGTCAAAAAAAGCGGAACCCAAACCCCAAAAATATATTTCATATTTAAAAAAAATATCTAGCACAAAAAATAATAATGACCAGAAAGCCAATTTCAGAAACTACTTTTAGATGAAAAAATACTAAAATTGCTCAATCTGTTCAAAGAATATCACCATTTAAACGCAATGACCCTAAAACCTGTTTTCGTCCCCCAAAAAGGAATATATTGTGTGTTCTGACTGTTTGGAACAACAAAGAAAATGACACAGAATACTTGTTTCTGTCAACAACTTTAGTACACAATATCTTTATTAACAACCCTGTTTGGGCAAACAATATGATTGATAAAATGCTTTCCTTCAAAAGACGGGCCTTCAAAAGGACTTTGTTGAATTTTAAAACTTTTACACGGAGGTTTTATCGCTGGTGATGTTTGAAGACAATTGTGACGACGATTCTTGAAATCGCATTTTTGGACGAAAGAGGTTTTAAGATCATTATGTTTAAATGGTGATATACATTGTACTTTGAACGAATTTAGCAATTCAAGTAATTTTTTTATCTAAAAGTAGTTTATGAAATTGGCTTTCCAGTCGAGTGTTTTTGGTACTACATGTATTTTTAAATATGAAATATTTTCCGCTCTTTTTTTTTACTCACCCTGTAGTTCTCATTCAAACCCCAAATAATATTTCTTTCTAATGTGTTCAGAAATTGCCATTTCCCCCCTCCCCCTCCAAATTCACAATCCCTATACACATGTAAACTATACCTTTACCAGCAACCGTTTATTAGAAAGAATTTAAGGCTACATGGATGGACAAACAATGAAAACGTTTTGTTGAGGAATACAAAAACACTCCTTTTTCTTTTCTGAAAAAAAAAAAGGATTTTAGTTTAGCCTCGTAATGGACATCCTCCACTAAAAAAATATAAAAATGGAACAATTAAATGTTAAGTCAAAATAAATCAAGACTGCCAAGTGATTATTTTGCCCAGTGAGCATGTAAATTTAAACTGGCTGCAAGAAAGGAACTCGGTCACACAACAAGATTATGATTGGCCAATGCCAAACAGATGGTTTTCCCATCATCCTCATGTATCCGTGCAGCTTGCATTTTCCCAATTTCTGCGGTTGTGGGAGTGGAGAGGTTAATGGGAATAATAACAACCTTGGACTTCCCTCCCAAATTAACGCTGTGTACTTGGACGTGCCCAGCAGGCGCCCACGGCCAAAGTGAACAGACCTTGATAAGGTCTTGCCAAGCAGTTGTTAGTTGATGCCAAGTTTGCCAGAGTACAGACTACCAATTGTACATGTACATCTTGTAAAACAATTGCCTGTCCATACCTCCCCCTACCTGCTGGAGCTGAATTTGTGGCATATATTTTGTACAGGGTGTTTTTTTTTTCAGAGTCAACTGACTGTGACCTGCTCCAACATGAAACTATGATTGTCTCCGAATTTGCTCTGCTCCTTTAACTTGTAGGAACAAAAGCTTCAATACTACTAGATTTCTCTGTCATTCCAGCAGCCAAATAACTTTTGATCTCAATCAGCAGTGTTTTGTTGCATCAGATCACTCCTCTTCTGTATTCAGTCTTTTGATATCTAAAAAAAATGTGTTTTTTTTACTCTATATAGAAAAAGTCATCTGACCTAAAAGTCGGATAGGGAGGGGGGGGGGGCAGTTCCTAAAATCTGTACAGTTTTTATAAGCTCTAATTTCTTGCAAGTTCAGAAAATGCGCTTGTATGGTGTACTAATATGAACTATTTGACGAGTACTGCTGGGTTACATTATCCCCATTTTTTGATCTGAAGGCGTGAAAAAAAGTGTAACATAATCTGGGATATCCAGGGCAGGCATGGGCGTCGCCAGGATTTTTTCTAGAGGGGGGCAAAAATTTTTTTGGCCAAAAACTTTTTGCCAAAAAATGCTTGTATTTCTCAACACTTTCTCGATTTATCAGTTTTAGAGGGGGGCAAGGACATTTTGCCCCCCCCCCAACTCATTAAATTTACACCACTTTGTCTTCGCGCCTCTTTTTCTTTTCTTTTTTTCCCTTTTTTTCTTCCTTTTTTTTTTTTTTTTTTTTTTTTTTTTTGCTTTTCCAGGGGGGGCAAGTGCCCCCCCCTTGCCCCCCCCCCCTCGCGACGCCCATGAGGGCAGGGACTAAAGTGGGTTCACGACTTCCATTTAGTGACAGTCTCAGTTGACATCTCTTTGAATTCTGATCCCTGTATGCCTCAAGCTACCAACTAGGCCATACATTCAGGGTCCAAAGTGTGATATTTTTCCTGTTCCTTTTACTTTGGTGCCTTGTAATAAGCCAATTGGGAGTTAAATTTGAATAAAATCTGGAACGTTGACTTAATCCAAGCTGTATTGCATGATTCGGGGCTAGCCTTATGCTAGCAACCTCCAGCTCCGGCATGGTCTGGTGGTGTCTTTGTGCCATTCTCACCCATTGTGAACAGTGTATTGGTGCTGAGCGTCTCTTACACAACTATGTAAGAGCTTGCCCCGAATCATGCGATTGGCAACGGTGTCTTTTGTCTGGAGAATTCAAAATTAAAATGTGCCAAGCAATCTGAGCGAGTCAGTGTTCCAGATGTTTTTCAAATTTAAACCCCAATATAGGTCACTCGCAAATGGCTTATTGGCCATTCCAGCGTTATTGAGAATGACTTCATTTTTTTTTATTTGTTGGGTAAGTATAGTTTGCTATTTATTCTCTTGGAGGATGACATGGAGTGCATCAGAATTATAAAATCATAGATGTCAGATGTAACAGGGAAAGGAGAAAAAAGTGGATCCTAAATTTCTAGAATGACACACATGCCTGAGGTCTTTGGGGAAAACAATGATGGATTGTGATGAACATTTAAAATATTTGAAATAACTATTTGGCATCTAATTAACGTAGAAGTTGTAGCTGCCATGATGATGCTCCTCAAAAAAGTGCTTGGAAATTAAATCTGGACTACCTTCTTTTGAACAAAGAAATGTTGTTAAGCAAAGCACGAATGGAGTTAACAGAATGCACCAGACGCATGTACCATTGCAAAATGTGATGAAACCACTGAAAGCATTTTAAATGTTCTTGGGAATATTTAAATGTTCTAAAGGAGTGTCATTGAGATGACATTTTTTTTTTAGACTGGGGGAGGCCTCTCATAAAAATGAAATATATTATTACTCACATCTTGTACCAGAGCTGCATTGGTTTTATGTTACAGCAGACTGGTGTTTGTATAGCCTAGAAGTGTCAAGGTTTCAAACTCTTTGGCATATGCACTCATACCCCAACTTTTACCTCCTAGCTAGCAAGCGGTGAAGAAAAAAAATAGACTTAGGATAAAACTCCAGAAAGTAATTTAATGATATTCACATCAGGTGTCTTGATCCTTTGGGTCAGTGGTGTCATCAGTAGTCTGCTGAGAAGCGAACTGATATATATGCCCTTGAGGGTACAAGGAAGCTTTGCCATTGGCTGGAACTTTGTTGATCAGTTAGCAGGCCATCCCATAATGATCTTATAAAAGTCAGGCCACAGCAACTTGGGGATTGGGGCTATTAGGGTCTTGAAATCCTGCCTTGCCTGCACTTTGTTGATAGCGGTGCCCAGAGATTGTACATGCTCAGCCATGTATAGCTTGTTGGGCCAGAGAGGCCGGTGCGTCTGGCTCCTACTCCTTGTGGTGATCATAACCTTTTGCAGGGCTCAGGATAGCTCGTCAGTGTCATCATGTAAGTCAGATTCTACCAATCGCCAACACCCACCAATGTGTTTCTGTGTCTTTGGGATGTTATTGGCCTATCGCCGTTTGCCAGTTAGCCGCGCCCCTTAGACAACCCTAAGGAAATTGTGTACGTTTGTCTCAGATGTTGCCCGTTCCGCGTCCATTTGTATATCATGTATTAAATTGGACAATATTTCACAAGCTGCGTTGACGTGATTCTAATGCGCTTCTACTGCGATAGGTCAATTTTATCAATGACAAATCTGGCGCAACACACAGGGGGGGGGGGGGGGGGGGGGGTGGTTGTGGTAGTGGGGGGGGGGGGGCTGAAGAAACTTGATGAAAAACTTTTCTAGAAAAATTCCCCATTGTGTGCCCCTCCTCTAGGCTCTGGCCCAAAATCTAGATATATGACATTGTCAGCACTTTCAATTCTCATGGGAATGTATTGCCATGAGCTTGCAATAACCCTTCTGATTAACCATTCAGAATCATATAATCATTCAGATCATTAGGAAGAAGTTTTTTTTTTAGTTCGTCATAAATGTTGGCTTTCGTGGTTGAGGAATTGCTTTTCAAATTGAAGCATCAAAGTACGTACAGTAATAAATTTATATTTACATTGCATTGAATTTGGTGGTCGAAGCATATTGGTTCCTGTCCTTTCTTCTGACATTTGCTACCAAGAAACAAACTTGTTGACCGATATATTTCTGTAATTATTTTTTAAATATATTTTTGAAGCTTCCAGCTCCAAAGAGGGTGGTTACCCTAAACGCATGCCATGCAAGGACAACAACAATCGGATTTCTTACCATGGGGAAACCTACAAGATGACGAAGTGTTCGGCCTGCACATGTACCAACTCCACTCTCGCTTGTCAATTTGAGTCCTGTCAGCCGGCAACATGTGCCAACCCATTGGAATTTCCGGAGATTTGTTGTCCAACCTGCCCTTACAGTACGTTTTTGTCTTTACAAAAGTTGTAAAAAACACTTCCTTTGGTAGTAATGGTAGCCTATATTAGCAAGGGACCTCCCTTTATTTCCCCAAAATTCCCTATATTGCAGGAGACCAATAGCACATAATTGTCCTTACCAGAGGCATTAAAGGACCTGTCAATTTATTGAGAAAAACCTAGCTCAAACTGTAGATAGGGATCGATGGTCCTAAATATACCTGTGAAATTATGCAAATTATAGGTTTTGCCCTTCACCGACGTTTAATCACTGTATACTCAATGTGTTACCTCCCGAGTGAAAGTTGGAAAAAATTACTCGGTAGGGACTCGAACCCACGACCTCCTGCTTTCTAGTGCAGATGTCTTACCACTTGACCACCAAGCTAATGGGATCGGTTGGCTGGTTCGAATCTGATGTACATAGCTGGCAGCGGGTACCGCATAAACTATTTTAAGATGGAATTTTGCGTTGGGGTGATGTAAATCAAATTATAGGTTTTGCCCTTCACCGATGTTTAAACACTGTATACTCAGTGTGTTGCCTCCCGGGTGTCATGGCCTAGCGGTTAAGAACACCGGACTCATGCTCTGGTGTTTCAGAGGCGACAGTGGTGTGGGTTCGAGCCCGCCGGATGGACACTTGTGCCCTTGAGCAAGGCACTTAACCATTATTGCTTCGTCCTTCGGATGGGACGTAAAGCCGCAGGTCCCGTCTGTTGTGTAATCCAATGCACGTAAAAGAACCCAGTGACACTTATCGTTAAGAGAAGGGGTTTGCCCCAGTGTTTCTGGTCTCCAGTATAAACTCCCACGTGGAGTATTTAGGAGATGAACCAACCAAGAACCAAGAAAGTTGGAAAGTTGTGAAATTATTCCGCCAGAAATATTTGTGCCAAACTGACTGACTATCTATATGGGATGTTTTCTGCCGAACATAGGAGATATACTAGTCCAAATCCTGCTACTTGTTGCTTTATTGCACAAGGGCACATGAGGAAATGTGTGAACAAAACATTAAAAACACAGGGCAGCAGTTTAATGGTTGGTGCTTAAATGGGGCCCTAACAGCAGCTGTACAGATTAACCGTTAGTGAACCTTAATTAATTTAGATTATGAAAGCATTTCTTGTACCATCCACTTAAAAAAAAATTGTATATTTTTCACAGCTATCAAATATGTGTGTTTTGCACCAGCAAAAAGACTAAGCGCATGTGAAGCCTCTTGTATATTACCTTGAATTACTTTGATTTACTTTGATTTCCGTTAATCTGGTTGTTTTTATTGCTCTAATCCAGATATAACGGTGACGGATGTGGAACCAGAGCTTGAATCTGGTACCTCAATTGAGCAGGGGGTCGAAAACGAAGTCAGCCTTGATCTGAACGTGGGCTACCTCAACAGCAAAGACACCACGAGCATAGCAGGGGAGGGTCTGTGGACGACCAAGTTGTGGATGAGCACCTTTGAAGACGGGTCCAACGAACTCTCCGGCACTGTGGTGGAGGAGGCGTTGACCGAGGGACAGCAGTCCCAGAACTTGAAGAAAACCTCTGATGAGCTCTTCATAATCCCGAACATTCGATACCAGTTTGACCTGACAGATCACACTTGTGATGACGCCAAGTACGTCTGTGCCAAATTCAACAAAGGGCCAAACCCAGAGGTGGAGAAGGACTACTTGGACTACCATTTCACGGCAATCCCGACTGAGGAGGTTTTGACCGGATGTACTGAAATCGACGACTGTAGAGGTCAGGTTCTGTTTAGCTTCTAGATATTTGAACGGAATGCTTAAAGAAATCTGTAAAACAGTTTTAATAAGTGCAGGTTGACACGGTAGACCAAAAAAGCTGGGTTATTGAAATCAAGTGACTGTGAATTTGATCATAAAAGGACCTCCTGTGTGACCAGAAAAACAAGTGCCAGTAAAGATCCTTGACTGTTGAGGTTGGTTTCCATTCAAAGTGTAAAAACAGACTACTTAAACTCTGTGAAAAAGTTCACAAAGTGCTGACTAACACATTTGAACCCCCCCCCCCTAAAAATATAATAAAATGGGTTCGGTGAAGTCTACTTAAGCTGTTAAAACATCCTTCAAGCCCGCCAAATGGCTGTAAATTTAATCATATAAGGATTTGGTGTATCTTTGACCTCAGCGAATTAAGGCATTAACCTTAAAAAGCGAAGATCCTGTAGCTGATTTTTTTTTTCCTTCTTCTACCCTGCAACATAGGTCCTGCAAATGTTATCGTCCAGAATGTCGAACCAGTTTTGGACGGCCGAACCGTGATTAAAGAGGACCGGGACAACGAAGTCTCAGTGGACCTGAACGTGAATTATGCCGACATCCCCGAGACCACGGATGTCTCCGGACAGGGTTTGTGGACGGCCAAAATGTGGGTTAGCAGTGACGAGAACGGGGCGAGCGTCGTGGCAGGCACCGAGGTGGAGAACGTCCTGACCCAGGGCCAGCAGGCCAAGGAATTGGTTAAAGACCCGAGTGAGCTCCTGGCCTTTGACAGCATCCGCTACAACTTTGACCTGGCGGGACGCAGCTGCTTCGAAGCCAGGTATATCTGTGCTAGATTTGACAAGGGCTCGGATCCGCAGTTGGCCCAGGAATACACGGAACTCATGCTGAGGGGAGATCCCGGGGAGAACGCCTTGACTGGCTGCACTGAAATTGAAAACTGTGAAGGTAATTTTGACTTTCTATTTTTGTTGCCTTCATTATTCTTCTTGTTAAAGCTACAGTCCATCATTTGCAGCTATCCAAAAAGTAACTGGCGTTGTTGAAAAACATGCTTGGTTGAAAGATAGTAAGGGGACTATACTCCCTGTGAAATTATTCTTTCTGGCAAGCTGTCATTTTGAAGAAATCAACTAAAAAGGGGTTTCCAAGACGCATTGTTGGTAATTTAAAATAGTAGTTCGGCGTTTTGTTATTCGGTAAAGCGCGCTCAAGCGTTGGCATGATGCACACGCGCGCGGTTGCTATAATTCGTCGGATCAGTACGCGACTTTGCATAACTGCAATCGGCTCAGTGAGAACGTGTCTCGGACGCTGAATTCAGTCCCAATTCAAAACATGATTCAGCAACTTTTGATTTGCGATCGAGATCCTAGAATGCTGTTTTTCTCGGAATATACAGCTGAAGCTGAGATGAAACTTCTTCAGGTTAGTTGTTCAGCATACTTCTTTAGATTTTGAGAATGTTTGTTGCTTCAAACGAACAAAATGCACAAGTTACAAATGATGGACTATACCTTTAAGATATTTACTTTTATTCACATTTTTACCTACCATTTAATTTCAATTTTCATTTTAATCCATGTCAGATATAATTGTGTATCTGTATTATCAAGTAAATTTAGTTTCTGAAGAGGGATGATATATGGATTCATTAATTGTCTGTTGTTGTAACATTGTTTCAACCGGGACAATGAAATGGAATTTCAATTTTGAAGCAAAGACATCTTTTAAATATCTAAAAGAGAAATGTATATTTCAACATTGTCCTGATGTATGTTATATAATGATTCAAATATTAAGTATTTAAGTCTGGAATTTATTGTCTGCAAATATCAATCCTTTCAGGTATATCCTTTGTATAATCTTACTTAGAGCTTTTTTTCTAATGTACCCAAAATATCAATCTCATCTCTTAGTAGTCATCAAAACTCAGGAATAAGCAACCTTCTTAATTGCATACAGCTTCAGCCCCGACAAATTTTGTGCAAGAAATATTTTTTAAAACTTGGAAAATTTGTGAAAGCAGCTCATTGTAACAACTGAAGAAAAAAATGCCCCAATTTATATGTGATCAAAAGAAGCTTGTAAGCACACTACTTAGACTTAGTGTATAGACGGAATTTCTTGATGTCAGATTTTGATTCATTTTGATTGGATTCATTTGCACCCTTCTCACAACTAATTATTTAGGGGGAGACCGTTTGCATGTACGTCACATTCTTACATTTTGATAGTGCAATTTTTTTTTTATGGAATTTTTTTTTGGGGGGGGGGGCTAGACAAAATAGAACAATGTTGAAATATACACTTCTCTTTTAGATATCTGAAGAGATGGCATTGCTTCAAAATTGAAATTTCAGCCCTTGCCTTCATAGTATGTATTTCAATTAAACGTCATTAAGTTTGATATAACTATTAAGACACACTGATTATGAATGAAAAATCATTCTATAGGTGTGAAGGTGACTGACTTGGACTGGTCTGCCGATGTCGGTGAGATGCGATACGGAATCCCTACTCCCATGACCATCGATGCCACGGTGGGCACTGCGTCCGACAGTCGGTCACTGTCCGGCTCTGGCCTGTGGCGAATGGACTTATTCGGCAGTAGTGACCTGGAGGGCACGGGCCAGAGGAAACCAGTGGTGACACAGATCTTAGATGCCGGCGACCAAGCCATCCCTCTCGGCAGCCCTGGCAACCCCATCCAGTTCAACGGCGTGGATGCACGCTTCCCCATCGAAGAGGTCGGCTGCGCCGATTTGCCCTATCTGTGTCTGGAGTTCAAGAAGGGGGACAGCCCGAATCCTCAGTACACGTTCGGGACGGAAGATGGAGGGGACTCACTCGTCAAGTGTAGAAAGGAAAAATGTAGAGGTAAGCTGGTGTTCATTTACAGTGGCCGTTGACTTTGCTCATAAGCACCGATGAAAGAGCGAGACCAATGATACTTGAGTAACATTGCTGCCGTGCACCCATACTTTGGAGCCTTCCTTTGTAAAGATGCTACAGTTTTGTTCCATTCAGATGGAAATTTGTCGTGGCATACACCTTGCCATATTCCTGTGAGAAGACCACAGAGCACCAATTTCTGTTCCTCCACAGAACCTCTTATCTCCGGTCAAGTACAGCATGGAGGGTAAATTGTCGGATATGGAAAGGCTCAATTTGATCTCTCACAGTAAGTTGATTTTGTTGCATCACAGGTGTCTACGTGTCTGGCGTTGATTCAACGCTTCGCAGTGGCGGCATTACTGAGGGCAAGCCAAGCAACGACATCACCTTTGACACAATTGTTCAAACGACAGACGAGAGCCGGCCGGTAGTCGGCAGTGACCTGTGGCGACTCAACCTGTACGGCAACGAGCAGAGCGACGGTCTGGGTCCCCGCTACAATGAACAGGAGCAGGTCCTGAATAGACCCCTCAGTGGACGTCCCTTAAGGAACCCAGGAGAACCTCTATCCTTCCAGCCCATACAAGCCAAGTACGACATGACGGATATGAACTGTGAAAAGATCAAGTTCCTGTGTACAGAGTTCAGCCGCAATCCGTCCTCTTCCGTCTCCTTTGATGTGACTCCTGTCCCCAATCAGCCAAGTGTACTGCGAGACTGTATGGATGTACCGGAGGACTTCTGCCGGGGTGAGTGAGAATTTGCCCGGGACACCCTTTGGTCATCCTGACACCCCATTAAAAACACAAATGCCAGGCGACTTTGAAATCATGCAATTGTAGGAGGGGATTGATATTTGTGAACTTCAGAGTATCATAAATTTCTCTTCCTAGGCCTAAGGTATAAACCAGCCTTAAGTTTTCTGCGCTTGATTTGCCAGAAACAAAAACAAAATACTTGTCTAAAATATTCCTCAACAAACCAGTAACTTGAAAAAAATTTGTAGTCAAGTGATGTTGTCTCACTGGCATAATTTTGGTAAAACTAGATAATTTTCACTAACCAAAAATCCAACTGTTTTTTTTCTCTATAAATCGAACTATAATTTTTGGTATGCTAAGGTGTTCTTGCTGAGAGGTTTGACTGGACTTACGATGCTGGCAGTCCAATCCCTGGCCAACAAACACCGGTGAAATTCAACGGAGAACTGTTCACCAGTCCTCGGAGCCGGGACCTGTCCGGCACCGGGCTGTGGAAGATGGGCATGTACGGAAGCCGAAGCGCCGACGGCGATCCAACCGACCGCTTCGGTTACGTCAGTCAGGCTCTCAATCCGGCCGGAGCGTCAACCACTCTCAAGGGAGGTACCCCGATGGCCATCCCAAACCAGCAGGTGGACTTTGATATTGGCTCCATCGGCTGCAACGAGTACGGCTACGTCTGCGCCGAGTTCACCAAGGGGGACAATCCGGAACCCGAATATAAATTTGAGGTGGTTGGCCGGAGTGATGTGGCAGCTGGTAATGTTTTGACATCTTGCAAGAAACAAGAGTGTTCAGCACGTAAGATTATATCCTTGAATTTTGTTTTTTGAGGTGAAGGGGGTATCCATTGATAACAACCGAATTCATGAATTTTTTTTGTAAAACTTTCGGAAACACTTTGAGGGAGTTTGTGAGTGGAATGGGTCCAACACAAGAGTTTGTTCTGTATAGAGGTCATTCATTTTAGCAAATTTTGGCTGCCCAAAAAGAAGGTTCATTATAGGTAAATGCTTAGTACAGCAGTGTTCGTTATGTATGGTGGTGTTAAACTTTAAATTTTATCTCCAGATAAAAAGTAATGTCCAAAGTTATGCTCTGTCAAAACTTTTCCAAATTTGTTGCATTAAAATATCTAATGACTGAAATTTTGGATATTATTTTGCACTATTTTGTAAGTTAAAAATGACTAAAACTACTGCAAACTGCTTACTGACTGGATTGATCTTAAATATACAAATCAACAAAATTAGACTGCCCAACATTTCCATCCTGATACAATCTTCCTGAAAGGCGAAAACAAATATATATATATATACATAAAGTTGGACAATTTTGAAATTGTTCTTTCTGCATTACAGGTGCCGTATTTACCGATTTGGAGTCCTCCATCCCCGGCGATGATTTTGTGGTAGAGGGTCGACCAGATAACAACCTGGCTATGGATATCACCGGAATCACAGGCGAGGGATCAACCGCAGTATCCGGCACCGATCTCTGGAAGGTGGGGCTGTACGGCAGCGGCAGCCCCGATGGCCGCGGCCGGAAGATGGCCTACCAGGAGCAAGTCTTGAGCCAGCCCCAGATGGACCAAGCCCTGGAGACGGACTCGGATCTCCCGTTCCCCAACACGCAGGTCAACTTCAACATGGCTGGGCTGCAGTGCGAAGACGTCAAGTACCTGTGCACTGAGTTGCGGAAGAATCCAGCCGCCAGGCCGAATTACCAGTTTGAAGCTGTGCCCAACGAGAGAGCGCTCATCTCCTGTACTGAGCTTGGGGACAAATGCAAAGGTAGGTTACTGCAGCTGGGACCCATTTAAACTTGGGCTGCTAAGCACAGGAACTTTCGCTTAGCACAGAATATTATTTGCTTAGCAAACACAGGACGCCTCCCAAAGTGCGATGTGATGTACAGGTACTCCCTAAAACGGTAAGAAAGGGAGAGTTGGGGGAACCTTTTGGAGAGACATTCGAACGCACTGCCGATGACACCTGATGCTCACGCGAAGACGCTTTGGGTTTGTGCACATTCGGAATAAAATGAGTCGTGAGTACTTGGCGACATACGCTTACGAACAAGTACACGCACGCCCTGTGTCCTGTGTGCTCCGGACTCTCAAAATTGGTCAAAAAGCATCCTCTTTTGTTCGCACACGGAACCGATATTTATTGTCACCGGTAAATTGTGCTTAAAATTTTTTTTTTTGCGAGCAATAATTTCTGCGTGGCAGCTCCATGACACTGGCCGCTGGAGATGTGGGCAGCTGATCAAGTTCTTGCTTTGTCTTTCCGTTGTGACCGTGCTTTTTTTTTAAATAAAACTTTTGTTTGTCCCGTTTGCCTCCCACGTCAGTGAAATCCGGGAGATTTCATTTTGCCTACTTTCTGTTCACTGGCGAACTGCACTATTTCTTGCTGATCCCCTGTTTGTCCTTTTTGTTTTCTTTTAAGATGTCAGCCCAGAGTTGTGGAAAAAAATACATTGATGTATGGTACAAGATAAACTGTTTTTTTTTTTTAAAATAAAGTCATTCTGTCATTGTCTTGCTTCTATTTTTCGAGACAGAGACCATGTCCGAATTACTCAGCTATGGCCAGCAATTACACATACCTATCAGGAACCAGTTCGATCCATGTTCCATGTTCCGTGGATGTGTGTGTTTCTGATAGCCTTAGCCAGGTAATTCTGATGTGGTCTGGTGTCAGTTTGTGGGACTGATAGTTTATGCCTTCTGAAACTACTTTTCCTTTTTTTTATTCCAAAGGGATATCGGTCACCGACCTCGATTGGTCCTACGAACCCGGTCAGATGCAGATGGGAATGCCCACTCCACTTTCAATCGACGCCAACGTCCAGACAACACCAGACAGCCGCGATCTGGAGGGCTCGGGACTGTGGAAGATGAATCTCTTCACAAGTCGTAATGCGGACGGTTCGGGCCAGAGGCAGTCCGAGCAGTCGCAGATTCTGGACGGCGCCGGACAGGCCACCCCTGCCCCGGCTGGCGGGCCCATCGCGTTCGACGACGTCAACACCAGGTTCCCCATGGAGGATCTGGGATGCGGGGAATACGGCTACATCTGCTTGGAGTTTGAAAAGGGTGTGTATGCCAACCCACGATACAAGTTTGAGACAACTGGCCCAGGGGATACCCTCATCGATTGTAAGGCGGCAGACTGTGGAGGTAAGATACCATTTCTGCGTTTCCCGAATTGGCAATGCACATTTCTACCGCGGTGAATAGAAACAGCAGATTAACCCATTACAACCTATACTACATGTACATTGTATTACATTAAAACTGAATCCGTAAAAACAGTGCTAGAGCAGTTTTAGCCAGTGCAGGGAGTACTAGGCAGGGTGGTTTATAGGTGACACACTGACAAGCTCCTTTGATTGATGGATAAAGTTCCGAAGGATATGAATCAAGCACTACATTAATCTTGCCTTCTAAACTCGCCCCAGGTTATAGATTTGTCGAGAAGGCTGAGTCGTATTTCAGGCAAAGGACTACAGAGTAATGTTGTGCATCGGGTCGGGTGGACCAGGCCAAACCGACTTGAAACATCATAGGTGTAAACCGAATCAGAACCGAAACCGATCTGAGCTCCCCAAATCCGACCCGACCGGATGAAAATTCAAGCAAAAGCCGACCCGAACCGACCCAAAACCAAATATCACGCTTGGGCAAATGTGTCCATTATTTAGGCATGAAATTACCCTTGTCGGGTGAAAATCATCCTCCCTCAGTAAAGAAGCATACCGTACGGTATGGTAAGGACTCATAGCATTACCTACTGGTTGGCCTTCAAGTTATAGACTGTGCGTGAACCACATGCATATTCGCGCATCGGGTTGGCGTTGGTTGTACAGGACACCATTAACTCTGCAATGATATTGCACCACATGAATTTCCGATTTGATTTTTTTTTCGGTTTATTTCGGTTTATTGTAGTTTTTTTACAAGATGGCTTAACCGACCGGACGCGAAAATAGCAAAACCGAAACCGGCCCGACCCGACTGAAATGATGGAAAAACTGACCCAGTCCGACCCAAAGTTGGTTTGGGGTTGGGTCAGTTTCAGTTTCGGGTCAGGTTTGCACAACGTCAAGACAGAGTAGAATGGCTGTGCTTTTGCTTTTATCCACAGGTGTGTACGTGTCAGGTGTGGACTCCACTCTCCGCAATGCGGAATTGTACGAAGGCAAGCCAACCAATCTTGTCCAGTTTGATACCATTGTGCAGACTACTGACCGAAGCGTCCCGATGATGGGCCGCAACATGTGGCGTCTGAACCTGTACGGCAGCGAGCGCCAGAACGGAGAGGGCCCGCGCCTCAACCCACAAGAGCAAGTCCTCTCAGATTACTTCAGCAGCCGTGCGCTGATGACACCCGGAGATACCCTGGACTTCCAACCCCTCGACGCCGAGTATGACATGACAGGCGTCAACTGCAAGAAACTGAAGTACCTGTGTACGGAGTTCAGCCGTAATCCCAGCTCCTCGCGCGAGTTTGAGCTCACCCCTGTCCCCAATGAGAGAGTACTCCGAGACTGTATGGAGGTGCCTGATGAAATGTGCAATGGTTAGTCTTTTTTGCAAGCTTTACAAATATTGTGTTGCATAAAGGAAATTTTAATCCAAAGAATGGTTTACACTTTACACTAAGAAGTTTAACAAATTACATAATAATTTGGCAACTTCTCCCAGCTTCAGCTTTTGGCTGTTAACCATCCCCTTTTCTTTTGTCCAAATCCTTTGGTCTCGTGTATTTTACGTGGCTTGTAAGGCACATGTACTTTGTTATCATCCAGCCCGTGAGGAAAATCTATGAAGTTTACAGTAATAACCTTACCAACTCCTATGTCATTTAACCACTTCTCGCCGGGATTATTTGTGCCAAAAATTTCGCTTTTCGCAAAAGGCAAAATATTCCAGCCAACTTCTGATATACAGCCACAGGTTGTCCAAACGCCACAATTTGCAAGAGTCATTTCAGCAGTGTTTGTACAATATTTCTTGGCAAAACCTCATGTGTTTCGATGCTCTGTGGTGTGAACTGGAGCGCAAATTGTTGAAAAATAGGCAGTGCACCAATTCAAGATCAACTTAGGTTCGCCTCCACAGACTTCACGGACTTTGTGTGGGTGTACAAAAGGCACGAGAGATTAGCTTGTTTTAGACGTCACCCGGAGGCGAGTCAAGGCAAACTTCACGTTTTAACCCATCAACCGTGCCTGTGTTAAAAAAAAACAGCCACTGCGTTGTATCATGTCCTCTGATGCGAACTGGTTAAATAGCCTTTTTTTCTTAAAAAAATAGTAAAGGAGTTAATATTTTATGTGTGCATAATTTTCTGGAATTACTAATCAACCCCTGTTTTTTTTTTCAAAATTTGAACAGGTGTAATAATTGAGGATATGGACTGGACTATGGATGAACCGACTGGTAAGATCATCCCTGGTACCCCGACACCAATCAGACTCAATGTAGATGTGGATTCCAGACCCACGGCTGGTAGCGCCACCGGAGACAACCTCTGGCGTGTTGGTGTCTTCGGTTCCAAAAGGCCCGATGGCAAGGGTGAGCAGGTAGGACTCCGACGCCAGATCCTGACGCGTGACCAGTCCGGCAAGGATCTGACGGCCGGCAACCCCCTCGTCTTTGACGGCCTCGACACCGATTTTGACCTGTCGCTGATTGGCTGCGACTCGGAAGTCCAGTATTTGTGCGTGGAGTTTGCGAAGGGTTTGCGGGCCGAGCCGGACTTCAAGTTCCAAACGGCCAGCGGCAGCGATGTCATCGTCAAGTGTAAGGATGAAGAGTGCCGCAAAGGTATGTCTGAAAACCTTTGAGTAAACTTGGCTGTTAGATGGTGATAGCTGTCTATACTTTTTGCTTTTCATGTAAATATTGGTGCTGATAATCTGGAAGGCAACTACCTTCGGATACAGATACAGATTGGTATATCCAGTAACAAATCGCTTCTTTGTAACTTGATTTTATGCAGGAGTCAAGGTGCGCGGCCTAGAAGTCAGTGACAGTTCCATGACAACTTTGAAGGAGAACACCCCGAACAATCGCGTCATTTATGACGTCACTGCCCTGACCACACCGGACAGCGGAGGCGCCATCGGGGACAGGCTGTGGGAGATGTCGCTGTACGGCAGTAGCAACATTAACGGTGTTGGCCCACGCCTGCACGAAGAGCAACAGGTCTTCAGTAATTACCAGCAGAACAAAGAGGTCCTGCCGGGAGAGAACATCCCGTTTCAGCTGGTGGATGCCACCTTCGACATGACGGGACTGTCCTGTAAGGACGTGCCATACCTCTGCACAGAGCTCAGGAAGGGATCCAGACCATATCCAGATTTCCAATTCACGGCAGTCCCTGACAGAAGTGTCTTGAAGAAATGTTTCCGCTCAAAATGTGATGGTATGTTTATTGTTTTTTCCCCCAAATACAGCTGTAAACATGACCTAGGTATTCATGGAGTACAGCTGGTTTGTAGAGTACAGATAATTTTTCAAACAAAAGAGTGTTTTACAACCACAAAGACAAAAGTTCAAAAGAGAAAGGTATCTCATTGGAGGGTAATAGTGTAAAATTGATTAATTAATGTGTATTCATAAATACTTCAAATTATCCATTCCCATTGGTCGAGAGCCTGTCATGTGGCCTGTCTTAAATGGATAATAAAGACATGGCTGGCTGGTCTGAAACACTTTTCCAGTGTCACATGAAATTCAGTGCCTTTTACCGTTTTATTGGTTGAACATTCACAATCCTCACGTAGGCATGTGCAACACAGTAAGTATTTCATAGTCCTAAATTCACATAAGTCCTAAATTCACGTATTTCATAGTCCTAAAATCTGCACGTCATCGCGCAGCCAATCTCCATAAAAGGAGTTGTTTACGTCTTACTCGCAAGCTGGACACTCTATTGTATAGCTAGAGGGGTGTTTCGAAAAACAGAAAGTAAACTTGTTGATTCAAATTGGACCGAAAAGTTTTGATTTTTTCTGACAGAAAAGTTTTGATTTTTTGATTTTTTTTGTTTTTGACCGAATGCTAGATCCTTAGATCCCTAAAGGCAACCTCGTTATTTGACAAAGAACAACACATGGCAATGGCAGCTTTAATAACCACACTGGTTTCCAAGTCTTGAGCGTCCACTGTGAAGTTGCTCCAAATTTAAGCAATGTAATGCTGGTTCCATCCAATTAGTTTTGACCTATCATGTTCACATTTTAGGCATAACGATTGATGAGACAGGCCTGTCCGGTACCGACTTCACTATCGATGATGAAACCGAGGAGATAGAGTTTGACCTCGAGATTACGTCCAACCCGATCAGCGGAGACGCTACTGGACGAAACATGTGGAACGTGGTGTCCTACGTCTCCAACACCGACGACGGCACTGGTCCCCGTCGGACCCTGGAGAAACAGACCCTGACCCCGGATATGGCCAGTCGTGATTTGAGGTCAGGCACAAGAGTGAGATTCAACAACCTGGCCGCCCGCATCAACAAAGACGACATACCGTGCTCAGAAGGCGGCGGGTATTTCTGCGTGGAGGTGCAAAAGGGGGCGTACTCCTCGTTTGACTTCACCCTCAGTGGATCGAGGCCTGACTCGCTGAGGCGATGTAAAAAGCTCAAATGCCTGAAAGGTGAGTCTTAGCAAAAGCGTAGTGGTTGTTGCTTCTCCAAGCACCTGTTTAACCCTCCTGCTGTTTGAACAGTCACAGACAGTCAAACAAAATCAATCATCTTCCCCTGCCATGTCGTTTACACAGGCTAGTCGCCAACAGTGAGATCACATTTCAAGCAAGCACTGTGACTAGTCAAATTCAGTCAACAGACAAAAGCAGGCAAGAATTGGGACAGCTGGCTTATCAATCACCTAGTCAAAGCATAGCTGTATCGAGTTACATAAACAGTTACAGCCAGTCAATGGAGCTTTGTCGGCTGGGAGCTCTTGACTGTTGAAAACAGTCACACGATGGATTTTGACTAAAAGAACAGCTTTGCACAGAATGTATGTTTGCATAGCAGAGTAAAAAAAAGAAATGTTTACATTTTTTTCCCACTGCGTCTCTTTCTATTACAAAAATGTCTTGTTAACCGCTGCCGTTTATGAAATATATGCCTCGTTGTTTCATTTACGTTTGTTCTATTTTTAGCCTGTTTTGTTTTCTGTTGACTTTACAGGTTATTTGAGCAAGTCAAATTTGTAATGATTTTTTTTTTTTTATTTCTACTTAAAAAATAATGCTTTTTCTTTAATAAACCCGTTTGCTTAATTTATTTTGATTGTTCTATTTCTTACATCCAATCCCATTTCTGCTTCATCGTGATCTGACCAGCCGAGGTTATCAAGGTGAGCGTTCCAATCTCTCCGATTGAAAACATATATGCTTAATGCTATCAAACCATGATCTAATAGAGAATGCAAATTGTCCAACAAAGCTAAAACAAATTACGATATTTCAATGATACATTTTCCCCTTCAATTTTAGGGTCCAAATGGAGAGAAAGGGTACAGAGGAGAGCCGGCACCGGAACCTGTGAGTTGAGACTAAGGCTGTGTCCGAATTACTTGGCTACGGCTGTCAATAACACACGGGTCTATGGGAAGTGGCTGCAGCAGCTTCCATAGGCACGTGTGTAATTTCCAGCCACAGCCATGTAACTCGAGACACTCCTAAGGCTGTAATTGATTTATTTGGCTGTGGCTAGCAGTGACACACAAGTCTATGGAAGTGGATCCAGCCACTTCCGCGCGTGTGTAATTTCCAGCCACAGCCATGTAACTCGGACACTCCTAAGGCTGTATTTGATTTATTTGGCTGTGGCTAGCAGTGACACACAAGTCTATGGAAGTGGATCCAGCCACTTCCACGCGTGTGTAATTTCCAGCCACAGCCATGTAACTCGGACACTCCTAAGGCTGTATTTGATTTATTTGGCTGTGGCTAGCAGTGACACACAAGTCTATGGAAGTGGATCCAGCCACTTCCACGCGTGTGTAATTTCCAGCCGTAGCCATGTAACTCGGACACTCCTAAGGCTGTATTTGATTTATTTGGCTGTGGCTAGCAGTGACACACAAGTCTATGGAAGTGGATCCAGCCACTTCCACGCGTGTGTAATTTCCAGCCACAGCCATGTAACTCGGACACTCCTAAGGCTGTATTTGATTTATTTGGCTGTGGCTAGCAGTGACTCACAAGTCTATGGAAGTGGATCCAGCCACTTCCACGCGTGTGTAATTTCCAGCCGTAGCCATGTAACCCGGACACTCCTAAAGCTGTATTTGATTTATTTGGCTGTGGCTAGCTGTGACACACAAGTCTATGGGAGTGGATCCAGCCACTTCCACAGACGCATGTGTGATTGCCAGCTGTACTTGTTGCCAGTAATTCGGACAGGACCCTGAGATCTTTTTCAGATAAATTCATTGAAAGTATCAATTTAAAGTCCAAAAGTATTAGGTTACAAAGAAAACTGACCTGTCATTGATTAAGCTCAGCAGATAATGAGATTTGCTGAGAAAATATTAGAAACCCTCCCCGTTTGATTTTGATTTCACGGCCAGCTAGAAGGAGCAATGGATTTGGCTGGTGAATATTCAAATGTACAGGATCAGGTTCAAATTTTTGCAAAAGTGTTCCGAATTAAATTGTTGGTTGAGTATGCCTTCTGATAAGTGGCCACATTCTAAAAGATATGTGGGTTGACAGAGTAAATGCTTCTTTTTATTTTTAGATAATCAAGAATTTGTGTTTGTCATCATTCTGTTTTTTTTCTCATTTTTTAATTTTCATATTGTTTTTCCTGACAGGATTGGGACCGCTATCCCGGCCTGCCAGGACCTGGGGGACCTCCAGTAAGTTAACGATTGTTCCCAATTTCAAATCCAAACTGAAATCTACACGTGCTACTACACAGGGGAAGTTTCAAAGTATTGCTGATGTGGTTTATTTAGTTAAGCAAATCGAGGAGTAAAAAACCTACTATGAAACCATCGAACCTGGTAAAAACAGGGGTGGCGGAACCAGGGGAGCAGGGGGGGCACTTGACCCCCCAGATTTACCCAAGTGCCCCTCTTGCAGACATAAATGTGCCCCCTCGAGCATAAATGTGCCCCATCGAGATGAAAACAAAACTGGCCCTAAAATTTCGGATAATTTGTTTTCAGTAACCATTTAACACAAAATGGTATGGAGAGTTCTGATATGAACGAGGAATATGAAAACCAAGCCCCAAAAGCATTACAATTCACCCTACAAATTGGCCATAATGCGTAGTTTGCATAATGGCCTGTTTTGAAGAGCGCCCCCTATTTTGGGAGATGGTACCAGCCCCCCCACCCCACTATTTGATTCTATGGAGGTCAGGTGAAAAAATGCCCCCCCCCCCCCAGTTTGAAAACCGTTCCACCGTCACTGGGTAAATACCTGATTAACTTTATAGCAGATGACTGCCGAGGGACAGATTTAACAGCCTAACTCTTTGCTGATAACTGATCATTGGAAATGCATTGTTTCTTTTTTTCCAGGGATACAAAGGACCAACAGGCTACCCTGGACTCAGTGGAGCACCGGGATTCAAGGCAAGTTTTGAAGAAGAAAAATAACTAGACTTCAACCAAAAAATTTACAAAAAATAGTGAATTTGTGATCATATCGTTCACCTATTACTTTTTTCACCAGAAAGGTCTTGTTTTTTTTATCTGTTCAAGCGTAACGTCAACTCTTTGCAATTGAAGCAGTTTTTGTTTTCTTTGATTTCCTTTTCGATCCCATCTTTGTGTAGCCCTTACCTTGAGTGGCCCATCAATAGGGATTTTTGATGGGCGACTCATAAAAATACTGGTGTACTGTTTGAAATTTGTACATGGTTTTTTAAAATAATGTTCAGAGCTGCTTTAGATCTGCCCATTTCTAAACGTGAGGAAAGCATAGGTAAGGTTGAACTACGGACACCGACTTTGGTGGTGCTATTTTCATGCCCAAAATGACCTAGTTTTTTGTGACCGCTATTTTGGATTCCCCAAAATAGCGATGTCGTTTTTTTGTCTGAAATTTTCCCATGCTTTGTACACATTCTCAACTGACGTGGTCACATATATTTCAGCCAAATCAAGCAACATTTTAAGGCCAAAAAAAAAAAAACTTTAAAATTGCAATAGTTTCAGAACTGCTTGCCCAATGAAGCTAGGAGACCGTTTTTTTAATTGCAACTTTGATATTTGATGATTCGACCTAAAGGTGTTGAGAAAGTGCAACTCACAACAAGCCTTAAGGCCTGTCGTTTCTCCCCTGATGTGTGGCACTCATTCAGCAGTGCTGCTTACACCTGTTGAACTTGGACACTTTAAAATTGCATTAATTTCAGAACTGCTTGCCCAATGAAGCTAGGAGACCATTTTCTTTTAATTGCAACTTTGGTATTTGATGATTGGACCTTAGGTTGTTGAGAAAGTGCAACTACACCTGTTGAACTTGGACCTTTTGTCACCGTCCAATAATTTGTTCTATTATTTCGCCCCCCCCCCTGCTTCCCCTCCCCTCAGGGTCCACAAGGAGACTATGGACAACATGGATACCCAGGACCCCCTGGCCCACCAGGACCCCCTGGCTCCCCTGGAGAAGTAAGAGCCCACATCAAGTTGCCTTTCTTGTTTAAAAAAAAAATGGAAAATTAAATTTTAAATTTTTTTTAAACCTCATTACTCGAAATTTGAAGTTAAATGATATAACAAATTGGGCTTTTCTTGTTTAAAAAAAATGGAAAATTAATTTTTAAATTTTTTTTAAACCTCATTACTCAAAATTTGAAGTTAAATGATATAACAAATTGGGCTTTCAGAAAATCTTATTGTGAAAAAAAATAGTATGGAAGGTAGATTCTGTGTTTTTGTTTTGACCGCAGCCATAAATGTCGTGTGAATTCTTGAGGTTTTAAGTTAGAGCCAACAATCTATGTGAAAAATCACGTGATGAAAGTCGGTCGAAAATCAAAAATTTGCAATTTCCCCCTGGATGGGATGCCATTCCATTGCAGGTTACTTTTTTGGCTAATGCCTGTATCCATTTATACTCCTGGGTTGAGAGAGGCTAATTAGAGTGAAGTGGCTTGCCCAAGGACACAACATGAGGCCAACGCTGGAATCAAACCCCTGACCCATTGATCACGAGTCATGAACTGTAACCTCTAAGCCACATGCCCTCATATTTTTTTTTTTGTCCATAGGCAATTGCTCCTGCCAACATTGGATCATATTCAGGGCAAAAGTCGGCCGGCTTTGGTTATCAGTCTGGTCCACAGCAGGTGATACAGGTGAGATTTAATATAGCTTAACTTTTGTTAAGTTTGTACATTTTGTTTTTTAATCTTGACTTAAAGCTATAGTCCATCATTTGCAACCATCCGAAAAGTAACTGGCGTAATTACTGTTGAAAAACAAACTTGGTTGAAAGATAGTAAGGGAACTAAACTCCCTGTGAAATTATTCTTTCTGGGAAGCTGTCATTTTGAAGTAATCAACGAAAGAAGGCATTTCCAACGGTGATTCTTAAGAAGCACCGTAGGAAAATTTAAATTAGTAGTTCGTTTTGTTATTCAGCGCAGCGCGCACAAGTATTGGAACGACGCACAAGCGCGCGTGGTTGTTATAATTCGTCGGATCAGTGCGCGACATCGCGTATAGCTGCAATTCAAAACAATTCAAAACATGATTCAGTAACTTTTGATTTGAAATTGAGATCTTAGAATGCTGCTTTTCTCGGAATGTACAGCTGAAGCTTAGCTGAAACTTCATCAGGTTAGTTGCTCAGTATCCTTCATTAGATTTTGAACACTTTTGATCAGGTTAGTTGCTCAGTATCCTTCATTAGATTTTGAACACTTTTGTTGCTTCAAACGAACAAAATGCACTAATTACAAATGATGGACTATATCTTTAATTAGGACTTTACTTATCCACATACATATTTGGGCTTACACGTTCACGCTTACTGAAACTAACTTAGCTCTTTATCTGTAGTAATATTAAATCTGATGGTTGTTTTTATGATACTGTTAAAAGGCAGGTAGGATCATTTGTATTTATCCCAAAACTAGCTTACCGAATTATTATCAAAAAGCTTACTTGGACTAAAGATCGCTCTGGAACTAAACGTCCCGTGAAATTATTCTGTCTGGCTTGCTGTCATTTAGAAGAAATCAAGAAATGTAGGTGATCTCCAACAATCAGTCAATTGACCGAGTTTTGGAAATAAAGAGTGCTTTTGACAAAATCGTGTTTTGAGGTTTGGAAACAAAAAAATACCAAGAGTTGAGTTGGAAATAGATTTTTCTTGAACAGTGTTATATCCAGTGAACTGAAACAGGTTAGGTATTGAGCATCTGTCTTTGGTCCACACCTTGCACGCCAAGCAAATTGATGAGATATCCAATTGGACGCACTGTCAATTATCGACGTAGAAGTACAAGGATTTGAGTGGTACGTGTTATTATTGGAAACAAGCAAGGGGAAAGTGAATTTGGGTTATAGGTGCAAGTGACTTCAGTGACCTTTAACCTTGAGTGGCTTTTAGCCTTGTAACAGGTGACTTCAATTAAAAAGGGGTAAGAAAAGGGAAATTGACAGTTTTTAGACATGTTGTGTTATTTCCTTCCACAGGGACCTCCAGGACCTGCAGGCCCTCCTGGTGCTCCTGGTGAAATGGTCAGTTGGCTTTAGTGTTTTCTTATTTATTTACTTATTTGTTAAAACTTGTTTAAAGTGATACAATCAGGGATTTTTCCAAAGGATTCTTTCGTGCGTGAAAAGTACAAGCACTTTAACCACCTCTCGCAATCCATATTCATCACCGTCTGTTTTGAGGCCGTAGTCCAGTCTGTTCTGGGTTGGCCTGCTTTCTCCCTATGGCTCCTCTCCACTTGGCCCTGTCTGTCGCGTCCCTCGCATTGACTCCAAGCAGACGCATGTCATCAGAAACGGAACTCTGCCACGTCTTGCCCAGACGGCCGACGGGTGTGGGCCCTCCCACAACTATGTTGGTACACCTCTTGACCCAGCTCGCATCTTCCTTCCTCTCCACGTGACCATACCACCTCAGCCTGTGCCTCCTCAACACAATACCGATCCCCTCCACTCCAACTCTCCTCCTCAACTCCTCACTTGATAGCCTGTCAGCCAGAGACACCCCACACATCCACCTGATCATTCTCATCTCCGCTCGTTCCAACTGCTGGAGGTGCCCCACCCTAGTGGGCCACGTCTCGCAGCCGTACGGCATGCAGATCCGGACACAGGCAGTATATGCTTGACCCTTCGTCTTCAGGGGCGGTGCCTTAGAAGTTAAAAATGGGGCCAGCTCCCTGAACTTCTTCCACCTACTCCGCACGCGTGATGTCACTGCCGCATCTGCTCCCCCCCTCGGCACCCAGCATATCACCCAGGTAGCAGAAAGACTCCACCATCTCATACGCTTCACCTCAAAGAGTTAAAAGCAGACACCTTATCCAACATGTTTTAACCTTACGTTTCTTGTTCCAGCCTTTTTAACGTTCAAATACGTTGGTTTCAAATCCGTTTTGAAAGAAATAGATTTGATTTTTTTTTTTTTTTTTTTTCCTAGGGTCCTATTGGGCTACAGGGAATGAGTGGCGAATCAGGCCCTGTTGGAAGACCTGTAAGTACACTGTGGAACAATTCCAGTTTTAAAATTGAATTCAATATTTGTATAATTTTTTCTACACATAACATGGTCTATGATTGTGAACACACACATTACATACAAGTATTCACTCATAGATCTTTGTAAACACCGGCAATCGTGGACCCCCTATTTCCCTAATCCTCATTCCTTTGTTTATACATTTTAGCAACAGCTCTCATTCGTTTTGTACACCAATTTCAATCGTGGACTATCGGTCAATGGTGGACCCTTTGTTTGTGCCCTAACCCTTTTGTCCCTAGTCCACGATTGCCGGTGTTTACATACTCATGGCAGCACACCCAATTGTGGCTGCATGGCAGAAATTATGGTCCGAAATTACCATTTCTGATGTCCATAGCTCAATATGTGTAGGTATCCCATCACAAACCCGAGATTTTGATGCTTTTAAAATGTATCTTTCTTATGTTCTTAATGACTTAAGCATATTCTTTCCTCTTGCTCCTGTAGTTTTGCCATCTTGTGTCAAGATCGCGGTTTTATTTTTCATGGCCCATCATGACTTTCTGTCCCCCCTGGATGGGAAGCCAGTCCATCACATGTTACTCCCCAGCTAATGCCGGTGACCATTTGTACCCCTTGGTGGAGAGAGGCAAGTGGGGTGAAGTGCCTTGCCCAAGGACACAACATATGGCCAGCAGCTAGATTCGAACCCATGACCCTCTGCTCACAAGTCACCAACCCTAACCACTTGGCAACCCCCACCCCCACAATTTTTCATTGCAGTTCATTTTATTAGTTTGGAATTTCTCATCTCCACCCAGGGTTCTCCTGGACCCCCAGGACCCAGAGGTGAAGACGGCGATTCAGGAAGAGATGTAAGTCCATCATTTGGACATCTTTGTCCGTTGATGCATGACCGTCTTTTGTAAAAAAAAGTTGAGACAGAAATTATTTTATATTGAATCTGCACTGATTTTGGTAACCATTTAAAGGGAAAATACAACATTTGCAAACATCAAAAAACGAAATCATCAAATTATTACGAAATACCTTACTGAATTGTTAGGGACTGACAGTCTAAAGCATCCTTTAAAATCGTGGCTCCTGGTGGGCTGACATTTTCAAGAAAAACTGTTTTTTTTCCCAACGCTGACCAGCGTTGGAGAAAACTGGCTTTTTTTTTCAAATTAAAGCAAAAGCAAATGTTGTACATTCCCTTTAATGAAACTTTCATGTAGCGTTTCAAATTTTTAAATGTTTGTGTGATGCTTTTTCATTTAGTGTCATTCGAAAGACACTCCCGTAAAACCTTTTCATATTTTGTATCACTTTTCATAATTTTTGCTACTTTTCATAATTTTTTTCCTTTTTTTTTCAGGGAAGTGATGGAAACGCTGGTTCTGTTGGTGCTGCTGGTCCAACTGGAGGGCAGGTGGGTCCGGTTCCCTCAAATAATGAATGTTTCCTCATCTGACGTCCCCATTTGTATTTGAACAGAATTGACTTATAAATATATCTGGCTTGAGGCTTTCTTATCATCCAGTTACTTGTTGAGGATGACTTTCTCCTGAATCTTATTAGTTTTGGCAGATTTATTCCTTAAAAATATTCGGGAATCAAATGAAGAGATGAAAGTGAGCGTTGTAGTCCTTTGAGTGTAGTTTGAATTTGAGAAGTACGAGTGTGAGTTTTGTAAACCTTGAGCTGTTGTCGAGTTCCATTTGATGAGTTCAGATGTTGTTGTTGTTGTATACGTTCAGCACGCTCTCTCTGCCAGCCACTCCAGGGCAGCTTCTTTGCAGTTGTGTAGGGCTTCGATTCCTCAGGTTGTGAGTTCAGATAAGAGAAGAGATTTGAAGAATATAAGTCTGAACAAGCCATGTTGTACTTAGGAAAAAAAAAATTCTTTGTGTAAACTTCCATACTGAAATTTGTATCCTTGTGGAGACATTTCTTTGTTCCTCGTGTACTAAAGTTTTCGAGTTTGAAAGTACAGTTTCAAAATGCTCTTATTTTAACCAGAATTAATTTCCTTGGCTGAAATTCGGACTTAATATCCCTTTTCTAAAACTCTACCATTTGCGACGGATCAACATACCTTGGAAATTCATAGATTTTGAGTAAAATCCATATATCTATTTCGTGAAAACCTTGTTGAGACGTATTCATCTATAGAAATTGCCCTGTGGAGACGTATACAAGCTTTTGTTCCCTATTGTGTGCATGTCTCTGGAGGGCACGGTGTATCAGATCAGCAGGGTTAGGCACAGGTTACCAACCCCTCCTACTCCCCCCCACTCCGCCCCCCCCCCCTCCACCTGTAAAAATCAATAATTCCAAATGATCAGAGCCAATTAAAAGTTATTTATTATTAAGAGTTTTGTTCCAAAACATGATAGACTCCATTTTGCTACCTTTCAAAATCCCACCCTTTCCTGGTTGCCCTAAGTAAATTTGATGGCTGTTATACATGTGCAGGTAAACAAAATTTAAGAATACAAGTGAAAAAAATGTAGTTTAGAAACGGCTGTTATCTAGTGTATGTTCGGTTAGATTCAATAACCGTGCAACTTGTCCCCCTTTTTTTAAACGGATATATCTTATTTTGGAAATAAACGCTTGAATTGTTTTACACAGTTCGATTCCATTTTTACATGTTTCCGTTCCATTTTTCATCTTTCTGGTCCATTTTTACATATTTCTGTTCCATTTTTACATATTTCTGTTCCATTTTTACATATTTCTGGTCCATTTTTACATATTGCTGTTCCATTTTTACATATTTCTGTTCCATTTTTACATATTTCCGTTCCATTTTTAGAAATTTGTGTTCCATTTGTACATATTTCTGTTCCCTTTTTACATATTTCTGTTCCATTTGTACATATTTCTGTTCCATTTTTACATATGTCTGTTCCAGTTTTTACATATTTCTGTTCCATTTTACATATTTGTCTTCCATTTTTTCATATTTCTCTTCCATTTTTACATATTTCTCTTCCATTTTACATATTTCTGTTCCATTTTGACATATTGCAGGGTCCCTCAGGATCGCCAGGAAACCCAGGCCAACAGGGACACAAAGGATGGAGGGTAAAAAATTCAATCAATAAAAATTACTTCCTATCACCAAAAGAAACAATAACACCATTAGTGTGACCAGATGGAAGTCACCAGGGAGGTTACCATGCTGCTGCACGTTGCAGACAGAATTAACAATGTGGTGCTAATGCAACGCTTTTTACCAAAGTCTCGTAGCGCCTCACAAATATTACCCCTGTTCATCCAATCCAATCCAATCCAATCCAATCCAATCCAATCCAATCCAACCCAAACCAAACCAGAACCAACCCAAACCAACCCAAACCCAACCCAACCAATCCAATACAATCCAATCCAAACCGGAACCAAACCAAACCAAACTTCAAACCAAACTTCAAACCAAACCCAACCCAACCCAACCAAACCAATCCAATCCAATCCAATCAAAACCAACCCAAACCAACCCAAACCAAACTACAAACCAAACCAAACCAAACCAAACTTCAAACCAAACTTCAAACCAAACCAAACGTACCAAACTAACCAAACCAAACCAAACCAAACCAAACCAAACTTCAAACCAAACTAAACCAAACGTACCAAGCCAAACCAAACCAAACTTCAAACCCAACCAAACCAAACCAAACTTCAAACCAAACCAAACCAAACGTACCAAGCCAAACCAAACCAAACTGCAAACCAAACCAAACTTCAAACCAAACCAAACCAAACGTACCAAGCCAAACCAAACCAAACCAAACTTCAAACCAAACTTCAAACCAAACTTCAAACCAAACCAAACGTACCAAACTATCCAAACCAAACCAAACCAAACCAAACCAACCCAAACTTCAAACCAAACCAACCCAAACCCAACCCAACCCAACCAAACCAATCCAATCCAATCCAAACCAACCCAAACCAAACTTAAAACCAAACCAAACGTACCAAACTAACCAAACCAAACCAAACCAAACCAACCCAAACTTCAAACCAAACCAACCCAAACCAAACCAACCCAAACCAAACTTCAAACCAAACCAAACGTACCAAACTAACCAAACTTCAAACCAAACCAAACGTACCAAACTAACCAAACCAAACCAAACCAAACCAACCCAAACTTCAAACCAAACCAACCCAAACCAAACCAAACTTCAAACCAAACCAACCCAAACCCAACCCAACCCAACCAAACCAATCCAATCCAATCCAAACCAACCCAAACCAAACTTGAAACCAAACCAAACGTACCAAACTAACCAAACCAAACCAAACCAAACCAACCCAAACTTCAAACCAAACCAACCCAAACCAAACCAACCCAAACCAAACTTCAAACCAAACCAAACGTACCAAACTAACCAAACTTCAAACCAAACCAAACGTACCAAACTAACCAAACCAAACCAAACCAAACCAACCCAAACTTCAAACCAAACCAACCCAAACCAAACCGGAACCAACCCAAACCAAACCCAACCCAACCCAACCAATCCAATACAATCCAATCCAAACCAAACTTCAAACCAAACCAAACCAAACGTACCAAGCCAAACCAAACCAAACCAAACTTCAAACCAAACCAAACCAACCCAAACTTCATCCAAACCAACCCAAACCAAACCAACCCAAACCAAACCGGAACCAACCCAAACCAAACCCAACCCAACCCAACCAATCCAATACAATCCAATCCAAACCAAACTTCAAACCAAACCAAACCAAACGTACCAAGCCAAACCAAACCAAACCAAACTTCAAACCAAACTTCAAACCAAACCAAACGTACCAAACTATCCAAACCAAACCAAACCAAACCAACCCAAACTTCAAACCAAACCAACCCAAACCCAACCCAACCCAACCAAACCAATCCAATCCAATCCAAACCAACCCAAACCAAACTGCAAACCAAACCAAATCAAACGTACCAAGCCAAACCAAACCAAACCAAACTTCAAACCAAACTTCAAACCAAACCAAACGTACCAAACTAACCAAACCAAACCAAACCAAACCAACCCAAACTTCAAACCAAACCAACCCAAACCAAACCAACCCAAACCAAACCGGAACCAACCCAATCCAAACCAACCCAAACCAAACTGCAAACCAAACCAAATCAAACGTACCAAGCCAAACCAAACCAAACCAAACTTCAAACCAAACTTCAAACCAAACCAAACGTACCAAACTAACCAAACCAAACCAAACCAAACCAACCCAAACTTCAAACCAAACCAACCCAAACCAAACCGGAACCAACCCAAACCAAACCCAACCCAACCCAACCAATCCAATACAATCCAATCCAAACCAAACTTCAAACCAAACCAAACCAAACGTACCAAGCCAAACCAAACCAAACCAAACTTCAAACCAAACCAAACCAACCCAAACTTCAAACCAAACCAACCCAAACCAAACCAACCCAAACCAAACCGGAACCAACCCAAACCAAACCCAACCCAACCCAACCAATCCAATACAATCCAATCCAAACCAAACTTCAAACCAAACCAAACCAAACGTACCAAGCCAAACCAAACCAAACCAAACTTCAAACCAAACTTCAAACCAAACCAAACGTACCAAACTATCCAAACCAAACCAAACCAAACCAACCCAAACTTCAAACCAAACCAACCCAAACCCAACCCAACCCAACCAAACCAATCCAATCCAATCCAAACCAACCCAAACCAAACTGCAAACCAAACCAAATCAAACGTACCAAGCCAAACCAAACCAAACCAAACTTCAAACCAAACTTCAAACCAAACCAAACGTACCAAACTAACCAAACCAAACCAAACCAAACCAACCCAAACTTCAAACCAAACCAACCCAAACCAAACCAACCCAAACCAAACTTCAAACCAAACCAAACGTACCAAACTAACCAAACTTCAAACCAAACCAAACGTACCAAACTAACCAAACTTCAAACCAAACCAAACGTACCAAACTAACCAAACCAAACCAAACCAAACCAACCCAAACTTCAAACCAAACCAACCCAAACCAAACCAACCCAAACCAAACCGGAACCAACCCAAACCAAACCCAACCCAACCCAACCAATCCAATACAATCCAATCCAAACCAAACTTCAAACCAAACCAAACCAAACCAAACGTACTAAGCCAAACCAAACCAAACCAAACTTCAAACCAAACTTCAAACCAAACCAAACGTACCAAACTATCCAAACCAAACCAAACCAAACCAACCCAAACTTCAAACCAAACCAACCCAAACCCAACCCAACACAACCAAACCAATCCAATCCAATCCAAACCAACCCAAACCAAACTGCAAACCAAACCAAATCAAACGTACCAAGCCAAACCAAACCAAACCAAACTTCAAACCAAACTTCAAACCAAACCAAACGTACCAAACTAACCAAACCAAACCAAACCAAACCAACCCAAACTTCAAACCAAACCAACCCAAACCAAACCAACCCAAACCAAACTTCAAACCAAACCAAACGTACCAAACTAACCAAACTTCAAACCAAAACAAACGTACCAAACTAACCAAACCAAACCAAACCAAACCAACCCAAACTTCAAACCAAACCAACCCAAACCAAACCAACCCAAACCAAACCGGAACCAACCCAAACCAAACCCAACCCAACCCAACCAATCCAATACAATCCAATCCAAACCAAACTTCAAACCAAACCAAACCAAACCAAACCAAACGTACCAAGCCAAACCAAACCAAACCAAACTTCAAACCAAACTTCAAACCAAACCAAACGTACCAAACTATCCAAACCAAACCAAACCAAACCAACCCAAACTTCAAACCAAACCAACCCAAACCCAACCCAACCCAACCAAACCAATCCAATCCAATCCAAACCAACCCAAACCAAACTGCAAACCAAACCAAATCAAACGTACCAAGCCAAACCAAACCAAACCAAACTTCAAACCAAACTTCAAACCAAACCAAACGTACCAAACTAACCAAACCAAACCAAACCAAACCAACCCAAACTTCAAACCAAACCAACCCAAACCAAACCAACCCAAACCAAACTTCAAACCAAACCAAACGTACCAAACTAACCAAACTTCAAACCAAACCAAACGTACCAAACTAACCAAACCAAACCAAACCAAACCAACCCAAACTTCAAACCAAACCAACCCAAACCAAACCAACCCAAACCAAACCGGAACCAACCCAAACCAAACCCAACCCAACCCAACCAATCCAATACAATCCAATACAATCCAATTCAAACCAAACCAAACCAAACCAAATCCAATCCAATCCAATCCAATCCAATCCAATCCAATCAACTTTGACTTTATTTCCACATAAGAAAAGGACAATCGGAGGGTAATGTCAACAAAATATGTGGTTGGGGATCCCTAAAAAGCAAAGCTTGTCGAGTAGCGATCCCCAGTTACAATCATACAAAATACATGTATGCGAAGAATTACACACAGAAACAACACATAACATTAGTCATGAAAATGGGTATGACATAATTAAGAAATCAGTAGCCTCTTCAGATATAGGTGAGACTACTTTCTGCAGCAGCTCAAGATCAGACCAATCAGGCCAAACCAAACCAAACCAAACTTCAAACCAAACTTCAAACCAAACCAAACGTACCAAACTATCCAAACCAAACCAAACCAAACCAACCCAAACTTCAAACCAAACCAACCCAAACCCAACCCAACCCAACCAAACCAATCCAATCCAATCCAAACCAACCCAAACCAAACTGCAAACCAAACCAAATCAAACGTACCAAGCCAAACCAAACCAAACCAAACTTCAAACCAAACTTCAAACCAAACCAAACGTACCAAACTAACCAAACCAAACCAAACCAAACCAACCCAAACTTCAAACCAAACCAACCCAAACCAAACCAACCCAAACCAAACTTCAAACCAAACCAAACGTACCAAACTAACCAAACTTCAAACCAAACCAAACGTACCAAACTAACCAAACCAAACCAAACCAAACCAACCCAAACTTCAAACCAAACCAACCCAAACCAAACCAACCCAAACCAAACCGGAACCAACCCAAACCAAACCCAACCCAACCCAACCAATCCAATACAATCCAATACAATCCAATTCAAACCAAACCAAACCAAACCAAATCCAATCCAATCCAATCCAATCCAATCCAATCCAATCCAATCCAATCCAATCAACTTTGACTTTATTTCCACATAAGAAAAGGACAAGCGGAGGGTAATGTCAACAAAATATGTGGTTGGGGATCCCTAAAAAGCAAAGCTTGTCGAGTAGCGATCCCCAGTTACAATCATACAAAATACATGTATGCGAAGAATTACACACAAACAACACATAACATTAGTCATGAAAATGGGTATGACATAATTAAGAAATCAGTAGCCTCATCAGATATATACAAGACTACCTTCTGCAGCAGCTCAAGATCAGACCAATCAGGTCTCTTCCCTCACAGGTACCCATTTATACTCCTGGATGGAGAAGTATAAATGCAGTAAAGTTTCTTGCCTAAGAACACAAGAACGATGTCCCCTTTCGGGGCTTGAACCCAGGTATCATCGCACACGGGTTGGACACCATAACCATTGGGCCAAGACGTAACGCAAGTTGTAGTTGAGTCAAGCTTAGGTCAGTCGAAAGTCAAATCGCAAACCAAATCCTAAGAAACGGAAGATGAAGCAAAACAAAGTCATGCCCGTGACTTGACTTAAAGGGGCACTAGGTCCTGAAATCCCCGAAAATGTTATGTTTTGGATTGTTTACTTAGCCTATTTCAAACATCTGGTTGAAAGGAAACCAACCTAATGTCTTACCGTTCCCGAGAAAAGACGAAAAAACCCCGCTTGTTTACATCGGACATGACGGAGGACGAATACGTTTTTCGTGTCGTTCTCATGTACGCTATACACGTTGTGTGTCTCGGGAACAGTGCGTGGTGACCAATCACCAATGCGAAAAATTGTGCTTTCTTCAACGTCCGCAAAAGGCGAACACTTTGCGCGTACGAATGAAATCACAACTAGCATCCAAACAGCTCGAATTTATGGGGTTGCAAAAGTGGACCCCGAAATTCGTTCTCGCACACATAATACAGGAATAACACAAAAACGCCCAGTTTTGAAAGGATAGTTGTGTGGATGTTTATATCCTACTTTTAAAAGTTATTTCCGATTATCATCATCTCGTTCAAAGCGCGTTTTGTAGCCCAATTGGGCTGTTCAAGGACCTAGTGTCCCTTTAACACTGGGTGACTTGTGATTGACTTTGTAAGGACACGTCTTTTGTATGAAACGCAACTTTCACTTGCAAGCATTCTTAAAATCAAAGTAAACTCCCTTTCAAACTTAAGAATGTTCCCAACAAGTACAAGAGCATTGAAAACACCTCGGTAATGTTGAAGTTTAGAAAGTAAAAAGATGGGATTGCAAGCAAAAGCATTCTTGTACAATAAAACTTCCCTAGGAGTTTTGTAATTTTCTTTTGAATGTGAATTTTAAAACAGAGTTTCATACAGCATCGATTAAAGTTTTGTTTTTTAACACGAAGTTGGTAAAGTATCACTAATTGCTTTAAAAGAATATAATTGAAAGCTTCAAAGCATCCCAAGAAGCTTTGGTTTTGAGCAGAGGCTGCTGGTATATTTTCCTCAAATTTGTTTTTTGAAAAAAAGATGAATTTTAGTTTAAGTAGGGTGTTTGGTCAATGACATTATACAGTTGTTATTGATTTTTGTTAATTCTTTTGACAGGGTGCCCGTGGCCGCAAGGGGGCTCGTGGCGATACCGGTGAGATTGGTGATAACGGCGCCCGCGGATCGGCTGGATCTGCAGGAGCCCCAGGAGCAAGGGTGAGTTAGAAAGATCAAAATATAATTGACACGGACAATGAAAAAAAAATACTGAAGTGTTTTATGTTTTGAATTTATCAGGTTTATACTGAAATCAGTGCAAAGCATTTAGATTTGGGTTTGAATGGCTGATATTTTTGTAATTTTTTATTCTTGCAGGGTGACCACGGCATTCAAGGGGAGAGAGGTGAGCGAGGAGCTCGTGGAGTTGCTGTGAGTAATTTTCATGTGATCTTTTTCCCCGTTAGCTCTTTTCGTTTTTGTTTGAACAAAATTATTAAAATTTCAGTATATTTGTCTCCAACCCCTTTGATCTTCACCCACACCAGTGGTCTGCCTCATATTTAAAGGGAATATGCAACATTTGCAAACATCAAAACAGCAAAACTACTCAATATTTATGAAATATCTTACTGGACTGTTAGTGAATGACGGTCTGAGGCATCCTGTGAAATCACGGCACCTGGTGTGCTGTCATTTTCAAGAAAAGTGGTATTTTTATATCAATTTCCAATGCTGGTCGGCCGACCAGCGTAGCAACCCTCCCAACCCTGCATGCTAATGTGTCGGCTACGCATTTGTTTCTTGTACCACTTTCATTTGCCTCCGAAGAAGGTCTTCTTAAGATTGGAACGTCAGGCCTTCTTAATGTTTTTGGTTTATATATTTCATGTTATTTTTTGCAAACACTAGGGAGTGAGAGGACAAGATGGCAGTGATGGTGAGATCGGCAATGCTGTAAGTAGAAAACTTTGCTGATTTTCCATCAAAAAAATGTTTCATTCCACTTTGGTTCACACTTTCATTGGCTCTTGAGATACTAAATCTCAAGTAGGGGAATTTCAGCATTATGAAAGGAAGTGTAATGTCCGTGACAGGGCCAATTAACCATGATATCTAATTCATAAATACCTAAGACAGTTTACGCATTCCTATTGGTCGAGAGCCCGTCACCTGGCCGGTCTTAAACGGATGATAAAGACATGGCTAGCTGGTCTTAAAAATGTGGACTCCTAAAAATCCAGTGCCTCTTACTGTTTCATTGGTTGAACGTTCACAATCCTCACGTAGGCATGCGCAACACTACAAGCGAGACAGAATTTTATAGTTCTAAATTCAAAACGCAACGCCCCAGGTGCGTTCTTCGTGACATCGCGCAGAACATGCTTCGCGCGCGTCAATCTCCATAAAAGGGCTGTTTACATCTTACTCGCCAGCTGAACACTCCATTATTTTGCTAGAGGGATGTTTCAAAAAGCATGAAGTGGACTTGTTGAACAAATCGGGATTTTTTGAACGAATTATTTGATATTTTTTTACGGATAAGGTATTTATGAATGGGAATAAATATGTGCTCAGTCGGTATTTATCACTCTGTTTAATACCGCTTAGAGTCTGGGTTCTGATAATTACCCTCGCCTCCGGCTCGGGTAATTATCAGCACCCAGACTCTAAGCGGTATTAAACGAGTGATAAAAACCTCCGGAGCACACATTTATTCCCTTATTAATGATGCTATGAAATGATCCAAAACTCCTGAACAAAATACTTAACGGTAGAATTGCTCGATCAGTTCTTTTCCTCTTAGTATGTTGAATGTGTTTTATTATGTTTCCTTCATACATTTTTCAGGGCCCAATTGGTGCAACTGGTCGTGTGGGTGTTATGGGCATGAGTGGTGCTAAGGTAAGTGCACTCAAGTACTAGAAGATATACTTATGATTTTTGTTGGTTTAATGGTAGTAGTTTTTGTCTTTATATGTAAAATAATTAAATTAATATTCAGTACACAGGGAAATTCATGCATAATTGTGATGGGATCAAGCTAAATGAGTCGTTTGTCGGGAATTTTTATTTGGAGATTTTGGCCAAAATAGGGCCACTTCATCACATCTCTTGGTGTTCCGACTTCTCACAATTTTTTAACAAAAGATGGTATCAGCATGCAGTTTTCACATCAGTAATGCTGAGATTGTGCTCTTTTTAAATCTGTAAATAAAAAAATTGACCAGGTCGACAAACGACTCATTTAGCTTGATCGCATCACACTTTTGTTTTTATTGAATTGTCTCAACCACAAGACCAACGCCCACTTGAAAAGGAGTTTATTAGCAATAAAAGATTAACACGAGGCGTTTTTAGAATGGAATTAGTGTTAATTAAATTAGAAGATTTGTATGGTTGGCAAAGTATGGAAAGTGAATAGCGCAAAAGTAAAGAATAGTTGTTATTGCTTCCAAACACATTATTAGATTGTTGTGAATACAAAATAATCAACAAATGCTACCGAAGGGTTCATAAAAATGACTCTTTAATGAGGGTGCTAATATGTAATTTTTAGCCAAATCCGTTGCCAACCCATCCACATACTGAAATTTGTATCTTGTGGAGACGTTTCTTTGTTCTCGTGTACTAAAGTTTTCGAGTTTGAAAGTACAGTTTCAAACTGCTCTTATTTTAACAAGAATTAATTTCCTTGGCTGAAATTCGGACTTAATATCCCTTCTCTAAAACTCTACCATTTGCGACAGATCAACCCACCTTGGAAATTCCTAGTTTTTGAGTAAAATCCATATATCTATTTCGTGAAAACCTTCTGGAGACCTATTCATCTATAGAAATTGCCCTGTGGAGACGTATACAATCTTTTGTTTCCTATTGTGTGCATGTCTCCAGAGGGCACGGTGTATCAGATCCACAGCTTAAATTTATGCCCTTGTTGCAACTAGCCCGTACAACATGGCGCTCAAAGTTTACAAACTCATGAAAGGTCTGTCTGAAATCACTACCAGCATGTTTTGTCAATTCTTGTGACAGGGAGATGCAGGTCCCCAGGGCGATATGGGCTTCCAAGGTATCGTAGGTCAGCGAGGTGAGAACGGCGCTGACGGTGCCCCAGGAGCCACTGGTGCTACTGTAAGTTAAGTTTGAGAAGCGGTCTCATCCAGGTGAACGCTTGGTTGGGCTGTGTGTTATGAATTGCTTCTATAGACCTTATGCGTTGCACGTGTTTCAGAGGGTATCCTTAGTTGTTTGAATTTAGTAACAATGAACGCACTGAAGGTCTCCCCATGCCCATCCAAGTGATGCAAATCATTGCCCTTAAACTCCACCTCTTATAGTTCTGATAGCATAACGTCAAAGTACCACGTGTCCATCTGGTTTGCCCGTGATCAACCATTGCAGTAGGCAAGGATTTAGTTAGCAACCACTTCATGTGTTGTAAACTAGACAGTATACAAATAACGAATGTTTATGAGTGCAATGGTGAGAATATTTTCATGAGTTGAAAGATTGAATGATCGTTTCAATGAGGCGAAGCTGAGCTGAATGGAACATTCCATCTTTCAGCGAATGAAAATATTCTCCCCATTGCACAAATGCAAAACATTCATTATTTGTTTTATATAACATCCAACTAGATCTTTGTCATTCGATTGGAGGATAAAACTTTAAGAGTAATTTTCAGCTTGTTAAGGCTAACAGTAAGGTTAAAAAGTCCAATTATTGGCAATAAAGAAAATTAACATGGTAATTTCTTAAAACAATGCAAAAAATCATCAAGGCAACTGCATCAACTTCAAAGGCAAGTTTTCTACTGCTATAACGCATATGGTCTAAATAGCGCAAAGATCGTATAGCGCCGGACCACTGCACGTCTTATAGCATGCGCGCGGCGTGCAAAAGATCAAAATGCACGGTGAATGGAACAAAAAAATGCACGGTTATGACGTAGGCCGTGCAATGGTTCGATTAATGAATGTCGCGTGACCTACAATCCTCCAATCAAATGACAAGGATTTACTTGGGTGTTATATAATAGGGTTTATTTCTACATAAAATAACTGCATGATTGTCACTACCCAACCCAGCACTCTGTGTTGGCTGTACATTTTTCGCACACTTTTTGCCATCCATCACAGCTTTGAAGGCCTGCCTACTATCTACTGCGCGTGGTGCTATACGATCTTTGCCTACTACAATGGTGATAATGATTTTCTGGTACCTGGATGTAGACCATCACGTGGGCCAGTGCGGGGGTTGCTATTGAAGGAGAGAAAGCTTAATGCACTGCCTCTCTTTTTCCATGGTCTGACTCTGCTTTTCACTTCCCCTTTTAATTTGACAGGGATCTGCTGGCCAAGACGGGGAGACCGGAGCAGTTGGTGATGTGGTGAGTAAGGGATCTCTGCCTCTCATTCAGCGGCCATCTTGTGGGTACCGATGCTATCACCTCACGGCTCACGATCAAAAAAATCTTGTTGATTGGGTGACATTAGTCCGAAAATTTGGGACTCTCTCTACTTCTTACGTTTGACCCTGAATACTTTGCGAAGCACACAAGCTTTCTAGAACGAAATGGTGAACTTCAAGCTGTCATTAAGTTGCTTACAAATTGGATTTAAGGTCTCAAATTTCGCAGGAGTCATGCTTGTAGCTGTAGCATTTTGAGGTACATGTTGTGTGGGTGTTAGCGAGAAAAATGGTGAGCAAAAAAAGGTCAGTAGTAATTTTGAACGTTTCTTATGCACTTACGGTCCCAGTCTTGGGTGACATCATGTAATCAAAATGCATTTCCCACCTTTAATACCTGTCAACTAGTCTCTGAGATGTGATTCAACTCAGCAAACCATTTGGTCTTGAAATGAGGTTATTATAAGCAGACAAAAAATAAACCACAAGCAACACAGAAAGTTGGGTGTGTGCACGCCTCAGCCAGAAGTTTTTTATTCAAATATGTCGGTACTGAAATCTGGGCAGCCGACCCATCATGTGTGCAGCACATTATTATATATATATCTAATGTTAAGGCACCACAAAGGCCCAGAGCACCAATAGCTTATCCAAGCACCATTTGACTCAGAGCACCACAGCTCAACATTGCTACTGTCATTCGAAACGTTTAATACTCTAAATCTTATAAATGTATCTTTTGTCACGTGATCTTTTTGATTCCCTTTTTTCTAGGGTGGCGTTGGAGCTTCTGGTGCCGCTGGTGCCCCAGGAGCCAGGGGACCTTCTGTAAGTTGGTTTCTTATATTAACCATGTCATTTGTTTGATATAAAATTCTGAGGACAGTTAGTTGTCTGTTGACAGAGCTCAAACAAAAAAAGTTACATCCTTTACTTGCAGCCGTATACAGTAGAACCTTTTGTTTGGCAGGGGGGTATATCTTTAAGGAACAAGTACATTTACTGGGGCAGATCCAGGAATTTTTGCAGGGGGGGGGGGGGATCAGACCAGATTTTTGAATGTCTGATTGTTGCGGACATGCGGACATATAGGTAATGCAGCACATTGATACTGATGCACTTATTAGAATTTTTTTTTGGGGGGGTGTCAGAGCAGGAGGGGGTGGGGGGGAATTTGTCGACCCCTCCCCCTGGATCCGCACCTGATGTATATCCCAAGTGGTCAACAGGTTTTTGTCTTTGTTTATAGATAGTTTATAAAAGTAAACGTTCAATTTAATGAAGAGAAAAAGATTATAAATTGGCTGCAAAAGGTCTATCATATCTTTATATAAAATGGACTGGTTAGTGTACAATTTTAGAAAAATTCCTTTTTAATAAAATTCTAGATAGCCGGGGATTGCAGCCCACAAATATGAAGAATTCATATTGCAAACAGGAGTTGTGATGAACATCAAATTCACATGTGCCCTGACAAACATTTCAAATGATTGATTACACGCAGGGAACACGCGGAGCCACCGGACCCGGTGGTGAGCTTGGGGCCCAAGGCTACCCCGGTCTAGCAGGAGCTCGCGGTGCTGATGGAGCTCGTGGTCCAACCGTGAGTTCACTCTTTGACTACTGAATTAATTATCTTAACTGTACACAAATAGGTCTCGTTCAAATGACGTCATTTCCTACAGACCATCCACGTGCATCAGCATTTTGAGCTTCAACTTGCATAATGTGCATCAGCTGCGTCGTATTTCGAACACATTTCGAGCAACAAGCGTGGGTTTGGAACATTTTCAACACTGCGCGATGCGTGCTTGATTGCGTAAAATACGCAGTTGAAGTTCTCCTACAGAGATGGCCGTCATTGAGCGAGCCCTATAAAAGCACATGCTTTGAGGCGATCTCTACCAGGCACAGTTATGTGTGGATACATATAAGAAATTCATGTAAGAAATTCTTTTTTGTCATTTGCCTCCGAGAACAATGTAATTTTTTGTTAAAGTTATTATGTTTACATGTGATGAATCTTTTTTCAGGTATTTCATCATAACTCACGGATTCAGCTTTAATTTGTTCCTTTATTTTTTGGTTTTTATTCTTGTTGTTAATACTGCGATCAGCGGGGATCTATAGATTGTATCAATTGTTTCTGTTTCCAAGGCATTAAAGTCACGGGAAATTGGATGATTGCCCTAAAAATAAATGACCAATTTTTGATTTCTTGTTTTTATTTTTGCAGGGAGGTGTTGGTATCCGTGGTGAGCCCGGGGTGGATGGTTCGGAGGGGTCTACGGTAAATGCAAACAAAAATGGGCCCATTTTTGTGTGGTTATGGTTGAAGGAAACAAATTTTGTTTAAAGTTTTGAGTTTTATCCCGGTTAATAGACACTTTTCTAAATTGCTTTTTTTCTAGCAATATAAAAGTTATTCACTTTAGAATGAGACATCAACCAAAAAAAAAACGGCCCATGTTTAGTTATTGAATGATTACTTTACAATTTCGAATTATTGGCTGCCAGATAATAATTCTGTTCTTGCAGGGTAGGCTGTTTCCCGTTCAGCAATCAGTATCGATAACGCATTAACTGGGAGCCAGTCTGCTCGCAAAGTGGATCTGTTTGTGCTCAGAACAAAAACCTTTTTTTTTCCACATGGTCGCAGACTTCCAAAAATGGAGAACAAAAACTAGGTTTCTGCTTGGAATAAGGCCAAAACAAAAAAAAAGTCTCTGGTGTCTGGTATGGAGCTTGCCCCAAAAGTGGTGCAACGACACAGCTTTTTTTTTTGTGTTCTTTTTTCCCCCTTCAAATGTCGGCTGATGACTGCAAATGGTGCCCGACTAAAGTTAGTACGAAATGTATGGGAGCCCAGAGAGGCCACATAAACTTATACTCGATCGTAAACCCATCTAAAAACACGTTAAAAATGTGCAGCAGCAGGATTCCAGTCAAACCAGTGAGTTTGGCAGTTTTGAGACATCATCTTACATTGAAAAATTTTTTTTTCATTTTACCGACGGGCATGGCTACGGTGACGTGCGTGCATACCAGAAACCCTAGACTTTTTTTTTGGCCTAAAACATACAAGTTGAAAATATATTATTAGGAAAAATTGAATTTGATGAAAAGCATGGGGAACACAACTTTAATTTCTTCATGAAAGCTACCGACAAAAAATTTTAAGCTTGCTTTTTTTTTTTTTTTTTTACAGGGTCCAGATGGTCCAGTCGGGTCAACTGGTCCACGAGGTCCAACCGGAGCCAGGGTTAGTAAACCTTGAGGATAAATTTCAAAAACAATCCATTTCATTTCTGTGCTTTTCTTATCTACTTTACTGTAAACAGTTGCATGTACAGATGATAATAGACAGAAACATTTGTCACAAAAGAGCAACTGACAAATGCAAGCAGAACACAAAGTAACATTGAGAGAATAATCTAACAGTTGATAGGTATTTTTTTCAAAGTTGAGCAAAGAAATTGACTGGAGCGGGGTTTGAACCTGCGACCTCCAGATTGCTGTTCCGGTGCTCTACCAACTGAGCTAAAATCCAGCCCTATGTTGGCGTTTCCCCAATTTGTCATTGTCTTTGTTCAAGGGGCGCTAGTAAGAAGCCACAAACCCGTTTAATTTTGAGAAAAAGAATTATTATAATGTAGCTAGTCAGTTTTCCTTCGTGGTTTATTTGGATATTTTGATGAGTAATTTCAATCCACTCTGTTTGTAGGGAGGTGTTGGTTCACAAGGACCTTCAGGACCGGCTGGTGCTCTTGGCATGAGGGTGAGTAGATAACGCTTCAGTTTCCCAGAGCTATTAAGCATGCAATGATGTAACTATAAGGAGGTGTAGGCACACATGTTCGTCTCTGACTTTGGTTTCATTTTTTTTGGCTCAAGACTCATTTTTAACGCTTTAAAAGGCATATAGGATACTTTGCCCTGAACCCGGGCCTGCAGTACCAATTTCATAACGCTGGTAAGCTCTGAAGACTCGCATTTTCATGTTGAAACTGTACTAGGCAAGGCAGGCCAAACTGGAAGTAAAAGCCGGTTGGCACCGTGTGCTTCAGAATGACAAACTTTACACGTAAATTATACATGTACACGCAGCTCAACGGATTCTTGGATGGTAAAATTGAACATTCAGAGAGAGACGCACAAACTTTTAAAAACTTTTCTTACGTGTGCGTGTGGCACACCATGGCATTTTCGTAGGCCTAGGTACTGTGCCTACTGTACACCTATTGGATAATCTGGGCCTGTTTAAGTTGCCTTAAAAATCTCCCAAAGCTAAGGTTTAACTGGTGTTTGTCTGGGTGTCGTCCTTCTTATTACATTTGTAGATTACATTTTCAAAGTGTTCCTTGTTCTACAGGGTGATGCAGGAGCACAAGGCAACACTGGTGCACCTGGGGAGAAAGGAGACCCGGTAAGGACACATAGTTGGTGATTATAGACAATCAACACTGGCCCTAATTTCCACAATTATGGCCTATTAGGTGTAATATATCAGTGTCCGCTATCAAAGCTGTAGCTGCAGGACTGCCCATTCAAACATGGCTAATATTCCAGCGTTTATGTAATGTCCATGACTGGAGCTTTTAAGGGCTCGGTGAATAAACCTGTAAATGTATTTTTCCAAATCTTATACATCCACCATCTAGTAGTGGTCAAGGAGATTACAGTGGAGTTTTGGATCATTTCACTGAATCATTAATCTGTCACAGACTTCCTTTCATGAACTGGGTGGCATGGGTGACTTGTGCGTAAAGCGCTCGCCTCTCACCAGTGTGGCCCTGGTTCGAATCCCGGCCGCAAACCATACATGAGCAGAGTTGCGCATTGGTTCTCTTCTGTGCCACGAGGGCTTTTCTCAGGGCCCTCCGGTTTTCCTCCCTCCGGAAAAATCAAACACTTTTGATCTCTGGCTGTGCTCCGTGAACATGGGTCGTATGGCTGGCTGCCTAAGGCGCCTTTACATGCCAGCGGCTCGACCACGTTGTAGCCACGTCCTTCGCAATACAGCTTTAAGTAAGGATGTTAGCCTCCCAAATTATAATTATTATTATTACAAGTATTATTTTGCTGGAATTTCCCATATAGTCATTTATTGAGTTATTGAGAGACAGAAAATGTATTGTACCACTTTCCAACCAGTACTAGCACCTGTCGTGTAATGGGAGCCCTTTTTTTTATCCAATGGAAGCAACTTTGCTCCCGGTCCCCCAGAACCTGGATGCGTCACTAGAAAATGGTAGCTCCAATACCTGAATGATTGTTTAAATAATTACCGTGCATTATCAAAGATACTGAGGCCAGAATTATTATAAAAAGGATCATAAACTATCAGATGTTTTTGCTGATTACTCTCTATGTTACTGTCAATTGAATTTTTATGATTTGATATTTAAGTCTAAGCAGAATCTGAGTTGACAGTTGACTGGTGAGTTTTTCTTATGTTCTTGCTGATAAAGTAAAGATCGCCTTCTTTCTGAATGAACTTGTAGGGTAATCCGGGACGAACAGGAGACGCTGGAGCTCCTGGTGCACAGGTAAATTCTTCCATAATTTGTGTCTCATTGTCTCTAAGGAACGTCTCAAATCATATCCTGGATGAGTTCTGGACAAATTGCGGACATTGTATCGGGTAGAAATTTCAGAATTCTGAACAACTTCCCCGCAATGACTTTTTAATCAGCTAATGAAACTTTCCAGGAACATGTCTGGGACAAATGCAGAGTTTCTTCCAGGAAAAAGTGAATGATTCTTCAAGCAACTTGTCCCAGTTATGAATAGAGACGTGCCCTAACTTTGTTCATTACACCATTTCAGGACTTGAAATACACACTGGACAACTTGTCAGAGTTTTTTATCTAAGTTTTGTTTTGGTGTTTTTTTATGACCAAACTAGACCAGTTTTTTGGAGGTTTGTCATGAATTACTTGTTCATAATTCAATTAATTTTTGTTTTGTAATTACCACTTATAATATGAAGTAACACTTTTCTAACACATTTCTTGGCATTCACTTTTCGAAGTACGCACTTTTGTTTTCAATGGAAACTGCCTGGGACCTGTCTTTGAAACATTTTGAGCTTCTAGCTCAGTAGTCTTACATTTTCTAATTTAATCTCTGTGTTTTTGTTTTACTCCTTTCAGTGGCTGTATATTTGTGTGTGTATTGGACTTCTTTGTTGCTGTCAATTTCACTGATCTATCTTTATTTCTATCTCAGTCTCTGACTATTTGATGATTCTTTGGGTTGATTTCAGGGCAGACCTGGAGATTCTGGCCGTGATGGCAACGCCGGAAAGCCTGGACCACCTGTGAGTTTGTTTTCTCATGAAAAGAAATTAAAAAGCCCTTTGTTTTCCCTTTGCACTAAACCAATAGTTTGCACTCATCAATTTTATAACTCTCATTGTGATTTTCTAGAATTTTAAATCAACTATTTACCAGATCTATAGTTAGTACAAATCAACATAAACTGTTGTTTATTTAGTACCATAGCCAAAAGTTTTTACTATCTAGATCAACTTCAAAGCTCTTTAATTTGTTTCTTTTTTGGCTATAGGTCCTACTAATAGTTTGTAGTTTTAAAACATACTTTGAATTCCCAACCCACGACCCGTCTGCACCGCAAAAAAACAGAAGTTATATTCCATAAAGAAGTTCCATTGCCTGACCACGCAAGTTACCAATCAGATGATGAGGATTTATGCAGATGTTATATCAAACAAATAATGAATGTTTCACATTTGTGCAATGGTCAGAATAATTTCACTCAGTGACAGATGGAAGGTTCCATTCCACAAGGCGGAGCCGAGTGGAATGGAACCTTCCATCTGTCACCTCATGAAATTGTTCTTGCAATTTTCCATACTGTTTGTATACAATGTAGATCAACACTTGTTACAGTCAAACCCTCTAATCAATGTCAGAATCACCTGCTGAAACACCTGTTTACGTTTCACAGACTCTGAAGTTGTTGCTTATTTTGTATTTGTTTTGCAGGGTCCCTCTGGCAGTGACGGACAGCCAGGACCACCTGGTCCTAATGTGAGTAGAACATTTCTTCCTCTTTACCTCCTCAACTTCTATTTTTCTTCAGCAACAAATACAAAAAAAAAAAGAAATTCAGAAGTCAGCGTTAGTAACTTCTTCGATTACTTACAAAAGGAACTGTTTTTTAGAAAGCTGCCCACTATTATAGAGGGTAACCACAATACTTAGTTTAAATCATTCAATCATCTTTGCCTTGCGGTGATTGATACATATATAGAGTTTGTTTCAAGAACACGATCAGCACCAGTTTGAAGTCTTTTAAAATCCTGCCCTTTCATGGCTGCCCAAAGTCAATTTTGACAGCTATAGGTAAACACAATTTTAAAATATAAAAAAGGTGAATCATAATTTAGAAACGGCTGTTATACTGTGTATGTTCTATACCTTTTTATAACAGGGTAACTTTTTTTCACTGTTATTTTCAAATGGGTTTATTGCATTTTGGAAACAAACTCTTCGTACGATTTCTTTTTGTTGTTGTCTTAACCAACAGGGTCCTCAGGGACAGAGAGGTAACATCGGCCTACCAGGATCCCAGGGAGCAGGGGTGAGTTTATTTCTAGTCCGTTAGAAGAAGCTTAAAACCTGGGCCCCATTCCATGCCGCTGTGAATTAGCACCGGATTTTCTGCTAACCGAGCCCTCGTCTATTTCATTTTGGAGACCGTAAGCAGTAGGCCTACCAAAGGAATGCTTACTTTAGAGAAGAAAAGTTGCTTAAATCAGTGACGTAACAACAGAATTCTCCATGCACGCGCAACTGTTAGCACATATCCACGCACTGGAGTAGTTCTTTAGGTTAGAACAATTTTCTGCTATAGTTTATGAATGAAGGAATTAACCATTTTCTTCCGGGTCGTACAAGCCGTATTACTAGGGACAAAAATACAAGGTGAGTCTCTCCTCCTCGACCTCACATAATTCCAATTATATGGCAGGTAAGGACCTTTACATAACTGTGAAGCAGTGCTAACTGTTCAGCAGTGTCGTGTATTGGGCCTAGTTGGTGGAGACCTCTGTGCTTACAGCCCAGCAAAGAATTTATACGCTAACCATTTCAGCACAGAATGTCTAGCTATGGAGTGCACACATGTGCACAAGCCAAAATTACTTACCAATTCATGAAACATGCTTAACTAATAGCACAGGGCTTGCTTGAGTTAATCCATCCATATCCAACATGTATACCGCTTGGTTTTCTCTCCATGTAGGGAGAAGAAGGTCGAACAGGGAATCTTGGCGCAACTGGACAAAGAGGACCAAGTGTAAGTCGACCGTAAATGACAGGGTTCATACAACTTCAAAAATTTCGCTTCCACTGAAGTTGGTCTCATATTTTCATAAAGTTTCAATATTTGATTTGATAGTTGATATCATAAACTAAGAGTACCGACGTTGTTTGTTGAAAAGAGCTCTCTCACTGCGAATTGCCATCAATTAATGCACAGAGTCTATTCTGTAATAAAAACACAATGTCAGAATGTCGTTTTGGCAACTTCACACTAATCTTGTGGGAGCACAGTACACACAGCTTGTTTTATTCAATCAATGAATTTCCCACGTTGAGCATTTTTGTTTAGCGAATACAGTTGGTTGATAGGATGAAATTGTCTGGGCATGTTATGCATCACAAGCTCAGATTCATCTTGCTGATTTGTCTCTAGGGTATCGCAGGAGACATGGGACCTGAGGGGCCGGCTGGACCTCAAGGATCTCAAGGTGCACGTGGAGACACTGGACCCCAAGGAGCTGCCGGAGCTGGAGGACCTAATGTAAGACGGTCCACAAATTTTTTTCACAATTTACGTCAATCTCACTGGAGTTGTAAGCTAGAAAATTATCAAAACAAGATTATAAATACTATTATAAGATTTTCTCAGAAATGTTACACTCGTGATTTTAAAATTCTTTGAAATTTTCCCCCAGGGTGGTGTGGGAGCAACCGGAGCGCGTGGAGCCCAGGGTAAGCGGGGAGCTGCTGGTGTTGCTGGACCCCCAGGACAAGGAGGACCAACGGGGTTGACCGTAAGTCCTTTATTCAAAAGAAAATGTATCTGGATTTGTTTTGTAAGAATTTGAACCCAATTTGTTTCCATTTGCAAAACACAGAAATGTAATGTAGCAGAAAACCAAGACTTGACAACTAAATTTTCCTTTGTTTTGTTACTTGATGTTTCATTTTGTCATTCTATCAGGGTAACAGAGGAGAGAGGGGCCCGATGGGTTTGGCTGGACCTGCAGGTCCAGATGGTGACACTGGAGCCGACGGACGCGATGGACGTGACGGAGAAGGGGTAAATTACTTTATAATCAATCCCTTTTCATGATGGACATTTTCAGAAAGCTGTGTAAGTTATTTTAAGAAACATTGCAAACTGAGTATTATTAAAGCGGTTTTAGAAATACGTTTAATTCCTCCAACAACCTTACGTCTTTTTTTCTGTCTGTCAAACTTGTTGGATTCAATATTTGTTTGTGTTTTCAAATTGACATTTTCAGATTTGAATTGAAAACATTTTTACAAATGGATAAAATTGCTTTTTTGGTTGGTTTTCCAGGGAGATAAAGGAGCCCCAGGTGATGTTGGACGCCTCGGGATCCCAGGACTACCCGTAAGTTCGCCATTGTTCAGATTTTAAAAACCTTTCCTTTTTTTCGGAATTTTAGGAGCATGAACCAGTAAACATGGGTTTTTTTACGCGTACCACAAATAAACTATAATGATAATGCAATGCTTATATAGCGATTTATACCAAGTCCTCAAAATGCTTCACAATTATTACCCTGTTCATTAGGCTTGAGACCATTTTTCACTTAGCAGCAGCTCAAGGCCAGCGCATTCTGGTCTCTACCTTCACAGTTACCCATTTGTACTCCAGGGTAGAGAGGCAATTGTAGTCAAGTGTCTTGCCAAAGAACACAAGCACCATGTTCCACATCAGGGTTCGCAGCCACGTACCATGGCGCTTGAGTCGAACACCGTTACCATTGGACAATATCGCAAATGGATGCGAATGGATAAAAATACAGTTGAGCAAATCCATATGTATGAGCATCTCTCTCTCTGTCTATAGTAAGATACACAGAGAGTCGTGGCCATGCAGCCAATGTTGCTTGTTTTAAACTTGAATCAAAAGTCTTCAATTTTTTGGCCATCAAAGTCAATATTTTCAATGTTTAAATGTTTGTTATAAATCATATTTATTCTGGCAGATGATCCATAATTCAAGATATAGATAAAATGGCCTTACTCATAAATTTATTTTATATTTTAGGGAACCCCAGGTGATCGGGGTGGTGTTGGAGGCATCGGAGTTGTTGGAGCTACTGTGAGTAATATTTTTTTTTTTTTTTTGTAATTTATTTTACGTTTTTATTTTTACAGGGTGAGTAAAAAAAAAGCGGAACCCAAACCCCCAAAATTATATTTACAAACCCCAAAAATTATATTTACAAATTGCACCAAACGTAATAATGACTGGAAAGCCAATTTCATAATACGCTACTTTTGACGAATGCGATTTCAAGAATCATCGTCACAATTGTCTTCAAACATCACCAGTGATAAAACCTCAGTTTAAAAGTTACAAATATTCAACAAAGTCCTTTTGAAGGCCCGTCTTTTAAAAAAAGTGGATTTTATAAATCATGTTGTTTGCCTAACCAGGGTTGTTAATAAAGATATTGTGTACTACAGTTGTTGACAATTGTTAAAACAAGTATTCTGTTTTTAGGATCATTGCGTTTAAATGGTGATATTCTTTGAATGAATTGAGCAATTTCAGTATGTTTTTCATCTAAAAATAGCGTATGAAATTGGCTTTCCAATCATTATTATATCTGGGGCTACATATTTTTTAAATACGAAATATATTTTTGGGGGTTTGGGTTCCGCTTTTTTTGAATCACTTTGTATTACTTTGTGTCTGATACATTGACATTACATGGTTAAGCAAATCTTTTCATTAATGGATTCTCGTCTTGGTAAAATTAAATAAAAACATTTTCAATTTTTTTTTTTTTTACGTGTAGGGTGCCCGAGGAGCAACAGGCAAGCGTGGCGGGTCAGGAGGTCCTGGCTCAAGGGTAAGTCCTTTGGAATCTATTCTGCTTTTATTTTTGATTCCATCCAAAGCGGGATTGGAACCTGTGGCCCAGAGTGTGTCTCCGGAAAACTACCACCAAATTCAGCCTTTTGATGGAGACTTCCCGATTTGTCACTGTTTTTAGGAGCACTAGGAGCAACAGTGTTCTCAATGAACAGGAAGATTTCCATTGGAATAGACACAGATTTTTCCCAGTTTTAATTGTTGTGCTTTCACAACTACTCTCTTCATTTTTTTTCCTTCAGGGAAATTCCGGCCCCCCAGGAGCACCCGGATCCCCTGGGCTGAGGGGAGAGCAGGTATGTCAGTCAGTTTGCTTGCCTGTCTGTCTGTCTGTCTGACTTATTCTTGTTACTAATACTGTAATATCTTGACATGATACAGGGTGAGTAAAAAAAATGAAACCCAAATGTTGGGACCGTTGTTTTAGGGAAGTTGTGCATGTTGAATTTTCAAAATCTAGGATATGAAAGCCTGTTTTATAAGCTTTCTTTTAGTACAAGAATCATTCAAATCACTTATGTACTTTTCAAGTTACAGAATTTTAAACACAACTACCGTTTTAAGGTTCTGTCCACAGATGGTAAAAAAGTTCAGTGTTCTTTCAGCAAAACGAAAACAAATCACATGGGGATGTGTGTGAAATGTTTTCGTTTTGCTGAAGGAACGCACACCTTTTTTGTGATCCGTGGACAGAACTTTAAACGGTGGTTGTGTTTAAAATTCTGTAACTTGAAAAGTACAGGAGTGATTTGAATGATTCTTGTACTCAAAGAAAGCTTATGAATTGGGCTTTCATATCCTAGATTTTTACAGTGCTACATGCAGAACTTCAGTAAAACAATAGTCCCGACATTTGGGTTTCGTTTTTTTTACTCACCCTGTATATTTTCCAAGCCCTAAAAAATATCTCTGAAAAAGAACTTTTGGGTTTGTTTGTATTGGTCAAATTTAACTCAAACAATCTGTTTTACTTCTATTTTACTTCCAAAGCAGAGATTGATCTTTTAAGTGGCTTCTCTTCAGCCCTTCATGTCTTACTTGTTTTGCATTGTCACTGATTTGCCATTTTCTGCTTGAAATATCAATTGTCATGCATTTCACCTGTTTTCTTTTATTTCTACGTACAGGGAGGCATTGGAAGATCTGGTCGCACAGGTCTCCCCGGAGCTAAAGGAAATCCTGTAAGTTGTAATCAATTTTAAAAACTTTGGCAATTTTTTTTTCCAGAAAGCTAACTGTATCTGTCAAAAACACAAATCGATGGCACATTTACTGTGCTTCTCTGCAATGGTTTAAGAACTAGTTGAAATGTGAATTAAGGAATATTCCAAATAAAAATATCTTGTTTCTGGTTCAAAACAGGGTGAGAGAGGTAGAGCGGGGGAGCGTGGAGCCCAAGGCATCCCTGGAGGACAGGTAGGTCATTAAGACCCCATAAACTACCAAATTGGTCACTTGTTTTCTTTAATATGATTTTCATACTTGGAGACTTATTTTAGATGAGATCTAAGGCCATGTCCTAAACGTGACCCTGGAGCTGGGGTTACATCTATTGTCAGCATGAACCTTGTAGTTGAAGTTGTCGAAGACTTGGACATTGCTTCTAGACAGTAGATTTGGGCATGGCCTCTGTTTCAGTTGGTTGATTATTACTATCTTTAAGTTTAGCGTGGTCTTTTTGTTGTTGGTTTCAGGGACCACAAGGACCAGTAGGAGCGCGTGGAGAGAAGGGACCTAGGGGAGGCGTTGGTGATCCGGGAGTCCAGGGAGGAGTCGGTGCACCAGGACGTACTGGAGCACCGGTAAGTCACATCAGTAGATTGGGTTGAGAGAGGGTTAGGGGAGGGGTGTGAGGGGTGGTGGGGGAGGGGAACCGTTGGTGATCAGGGACCCCCAGGAGGAGTTGGTGCACCAGGACGTACTGGAGCACCGGTAAGTCACATCAGTAGATTGGGTTGAGAGAGGATTAGGGGAGGGGTGTGAGGGGTGGTGGGGGAGGGGAACCATTGGTGATCAGGGACCCCCAGGAGGAGTTGGTGCACCAGGACGTACTGGACCAAATGTAAGTCACATCAGTAGATTGGGTTGAGAGAGGGTTAGGGGAGGGGTGTTAGGGGTGGTGGGGGAGGGGAACCATTGGTGATCAGGGACCCCCAGGAGGAGTTGGTGCACCAGGACGTACTGGACCAACTGTAATTCGCATCAGTAGATTGGGTTGAGAGAGGATTAGGGGAGGGGTGTGAGGGGTGGTGGGGGAGGGGAACCGTTGGTGATCAGGGACCCCCAGGAGGAGTTGGTGCACCAGGACGTACTGGACCAAATGTAAGTCACATCAGTAGATTGGGTTGAGAGAGGGTTAGGGGAGGGGTGGTGGGGGAGGGGAACCGTTGGTGATCAGGGAGGAGTTGGTGCACCAGGACGTACTGGACCAAATGTAAGTCACATCAGTAGATTGGGTTGAGAGAGGGTTAGGGGAGGGGTGTGAGGGGTGGTGGGGGAGGGGAATCGTTGGTGATCAGGGACCCCCAGGAGGAGTTGGTGCACCAGGACGTACTGGAGCACCGGTAAGTCACATCAGTAGATTAGGTTGAGAGAGGGTTAGGGGAGGGGTGTGAGGGGTGGTGGGGGAGGGGAACCGTTGGTAATCAGGGAGGAGTTGGTGCACCAGGACGTACTGGACCAACTGTAAGTCACATCAGTAGATTGGGTTGAGAGAGGGTTAGGGGAGGGGTGTGGGAGGGGAACTGTTGGTGATCAGGGAGCCCCAGGAGGAGTTGGTGCACCAGGACGTACTGGAGCACCGGTAAGTCACATCAGTGGATATACAAGAACTCATTGGGTTGGGAGAGGGTTAGGGGAGGGGTGTGAGGGGTGGTGGGGGAGGGGAACCCTTGGTGATCAGGGAGGAGTTGGTGCACCAGGACGTACTGGAGCACCGGTAAGTCACATCAGTGGATATACAAGAACTCATTGGGTTGGGAGAGGGTTAGGGGAGGGGTGGTGGGGGAGGGGAACCGTTGGTGATCAGGGACCCCCAGGAGTAATTGGTTCACCAGGAGGTACTGGACCAACTGTAAGTCAATTCATTCACCCGAATGACTCAAGAAATCTTTTAAAGGAAGTTTAAAAATGTGGGAAAAAATAGCCCCAAATATTTAATTATACATATTTGTTCCATATAAAGGGTTTATATTTTAGGATATGAAATATTGATCTGATTTGTTGGTTTACAGGGAGCCACAGGAGCAGCAGGATCACGCGGTGAATCTGGTGAACAAGGAGCAGCGGTATGTTATGAACATTATTTTCTTATGTTTTTGAATGGATTTCCCATTTTGAATGACATATTGTTCATTTTGTTTCAGACAGTTTCAGTTATCAGATGTCAAAATCAAACTTTTTCCTTTAACCTTTATCGATATTTATTTAAATTTTGAACTACTTTGGAATGACGTTTTTCACGTTTTTTCTTTCAGGCAGTTGTCATTTGTCAGATGTGAAAATTAAACTTTTATCCCTAACTTTTCCCTTTTTTTTCATTTCCAACTTAAAGGGAGTTGCCGGAAGTCCTGGATCAAGTGGAATGCCTGGACCCACGGGATCTGTCGTGAGTAGCAATTCAGAAATTCAGTCAAATTTTCATTTTCATAAGCCTAAAGCTGGTTTTATGTAGTCTATTTAATATCCCCTTGCACAGCAAGGGTCTATGATTTGCAAGAAGATTCGGCGATTACTTTTGCAAAACAAGGCTGCGTCTGGACCTCGAGATTCTGACCATTCAGTGTGCACCTTTTATATCGAGTCTTTGGTAACCCGTTGTCACAGACATCTAATAAAACCTAGACACAACATCTGTTATGCTTTTACGTTGTGAATTGTGTTAGCAAAAACAGGCTGTGCCACACGGCCTGTAACAATATGTTACGAGATGCGCAAACCGTACTGTGGCTTCAAATGATCATCACATAATATTTTAAATAGCACGCGCAATGCTGACGCCCTCTTGCGCACTCACGTCATGCCCTCGATGAGCGTTCGTGAATTCTATACGCGCAGCATTTTGCTAACAGGTTTGAGAGCCAGTGTCGTGGGTAGGTTTGATTAAATCTCTATGTCCGTTGTTGTGTTACAAAATCACAGCATCCAAATTGACCAATCAACAGCTTATTCCACACTTCTGATCGAAAAGACGTCACCATTTTGTTAAGTCGACTGTGATTGGCTGGCACGCGGGGTCGCATAAGTTTGCATGCTTATAGACTTATCAGACGTTGATATATTACTTCATATGTAAATCAAATTATAGGTTTTTGCCTTTCACCGACGTTTAAACACTGTATACTCAGTGTATTACCTCCCGAGTGAAAGTTGGAAATATCACTCGGGTGGGACTCGAACCCACGACCTCCTGCTTTCTAATGCAGATGTCTTACCACTCGACCACCGAGCTAACGGGATCGGTTGGCTGGTTCGAATCTGATGTAAAATTCCATCTTGTAAACTTCAGATGTAAATAAAAAGTCAGATCACTGAAACCGAAGGATACCACCTCTTTGTTTAGTTTCCACATCGCTGACATAGATTTGTACATTTTTTTCATATAATTTTGTCTGAATATGATTTCTTTCTGTTTTTTTATCTCAGGGAGCAAGAGGTGAGGTCGGTCCACCTGGATCCAGCGGAAGACTAGGTGCAATGGTGAGTGGGGATTTTAAAAAAATTTTCAATAAAAAAGACGAGCACAGATATTAAAGTATGTGACATGCCATCGTATACATAAGACAATGGTTTACGATAACACCGTGTGATAAATCTCTTTGTGAGTTTCTGAGGTTCTGACAAGAACCGAGGGAAACTCAACTTTTTGGACAGTATACTCTGCCCTGTGTCAGGAGACTTGCATCCTCCTAAGTCGGTTACTCTGATTGGTAACGCATGCGCTGGTCTGTCTTTGAAATTCCATCTTTTTGTTAATATTGAATAAAAACCCTGTATCTGTAAATGTATCTGTAGGGCCGACGTGGTGACACCGGTGTTGCCGGGGCACCAGGTGTCCGTGGTATCCCAGGACCCCCAGGACCTAACGGTGCACGAGGTGAAGACGGCAGGAACGGTGGTGACGTGAGTATTGCCCGTTGCCAAGTTGAACATTTCAATAGACTGATTGGTTAGGCCCCGCCCACTCTGTATAGGGACAAGAATACCCCTCCAATGCCACACTGTATGTTTTAGATATGGGTCATATGCGATTGTACGCATGTCGGATATTAAAGGTAGGGTACGCCATTTGCATCTATTCAACAAGTAACCGACCACATTATTTTTAAAATGCTCACTTGGTTTAAAGATAGTAATGACGCTAAACTCCCTGTAAATTTATTTCGCTGACATGCTGTCGTTTTGAAGAAAACCTTACAAGAAGGTCATTCCCAATGATGTGTCAAGTGACACATTTTTGGAAATTTCCCGGTTAGCAGTTGGTTTGTAATTGGGCTAATCCGTGAATGGGTGCGTTGACACAAAGTGCGTTGATAGACGCACACGCGCGCGGTTGCTATTATAAGCGAGAATCGTCGGTTCCGTGTGTGACATCACGTAGCAACAATCGGCTGAATGAGAATCACGTCCCGAATGCTGATTTCGGGATTGTATCATGACTCAGTAACTTTTGAATTGAAATCGAGATATCCAGAATATTGTGTTTTCTAGAAATATATACGTCGTTCACAGAGCTAACACTTCATCAGGTTAGTTTGTTGAACACCACTTTAGATTTTGAGCACCTGTGTTGTTTCAAACATAAAATAAATGCACCAATGACAAATGGTCTACTCTATAAGCTTGGCTGTGATTGGTCAAACATCGTGGGTTGGGACGGGTGCTTATAATAGAAATTTAAAAACGTCATTGTGATTATGTCATATATGTCATATGTCATATTATTTCTTGTTTGCAAAATCAACTTTCAAGAAGCAGGAAATTGGCTGAATGCTTAAACTGACCGAGCCTGGATGTTTAGTAAAAAATAAATTTGACAGACACACTAAAGGTTGACTCATACCTGCACATGAAATCAAACAGCAAAGGGAATTTTGTGGAGTCAACAAATGTTGATTCATTGTAATGTTTGCAGTTACCCTGTAAGATTCAGTTCATCAGTTACGTTGGCTTGAAGTATGAAGCTACTTTTCTATGCTAACTGGTCGATGGTCTTTGCTTTTTTTTAGAATGGTTTAAATTATTGTTTGTTACAGGGACCTGCCGGCCCTGCTGGACCAGCTGGTCCATCTGGAGTGATCGGAGAACTTGTGAGTACCTTGCTGTGTTTGTCTTTATAGTCTTTTTTATTAGTTTCTTTGATTTATTGAAAAACACAGCTAACATCCATATACTTTAGCTCCTGCTATTGTTTGATGCAACAAATACTTCTAACTGACTTTGTGAAGGGCTACTTTTCACAATGTGTTTTCCAGGATCTCATGAAATACTTTTGAGAGAACTTAAAGTATATATTCACATTTTTCATCTTAATCAGGGTTGAAGCTGAATTTTAAGGTTAATTACCAACATGCTGATTTCCATTTTCGAAAAAAAAAAATATGAAGAAAACGATGCGCATAACTTCTTTCCCCCGTATCTTTCTCGATAACTCAGTTGCATGTCTGTACCTCGTATTTCTTCATATGATCTTAACTTATCCATTTTGGTTCTTTATCTTGACTGAATTCATATCATAAGGTGTTGATTTCTTGGGTTTTTTCCCTCTCCCCTAGGGTGGCATGGGAGCAATGGGAGCCCCTGGACCCACTGGCCCAGCTGGCAGACCTGTAAGTATATATCCCAGGTGCTACTTTTCTTTCGGTTACATATTTGTTTAAAGAGTGGAGCATTTAAACAAGGGGTACTTCCATGTGGGATGTGAACTTTCTTGGTTTTGCACTATGGTTGAATTCTTCTTGTTGTTTGTGTATGTTCTGTTCTGATTCTTTGTTCCATTTGTTCTTTTTGCAAAGCCAGCTCAAAAGTTTATCAGTTGTTCTTTGAGCAGTCGTGCATTGCCTCCTCGTGATAAAAATTATTATTTAGGATGGCCACATACATTTTTAAAAATGGCAATCATTTATAATTATGATATTGGTTGATTCGTGTCATTATTATCTTTTTAAAAATTTTCCTAAACAGGGTAGCGACGGTTCCCCAGGTAGACGTGGATCTCCTGGCGAGGACGGGTCGGTAGGACGTCAGGGAGCCCGGGGTGTTAAGGGACCACGCGGACCAACCGGATCTGATGTGAGTATCCTCCAGTATTGATATTCCCATTCCTATCCTGGTAGGACTGCATGACTCAGTGACCCAAAGGGGGAGGGGGGGAAATGGGGGGGGGGCTTGACCCCCCCCCCCTCCCCGAGGTTGTCAATTTAAAAAAAAAATTGGGGGGTGGTATTTTTTTTAGTCCCACAATTTGATCTAGGGTGATAATATATGTTGCCTATATTCGAGTGGTATATTAGGGGTGTAAGTGGCGCCACCAACGTCACACGCCCAAAAAAACCCAATTTTTTTTCTGCCGCCAAACATTTTGGGCAAGATTTTTGAAAAAATTTTAACTTCTAAAAAATTTGGAAAAAAAAATAAATTGTGAGCTCCCCCAAAGCCAAATCCTGGGTGCGCCTCTGGACTGACTGATTGACTGAGTCACTGGCTGACTGAGTCAATTCACATTTTTTTTAGAACTTATAGTTTAGAGCTATAGTTTATAGTGAAATCACTTGAGATGGTGATTTTTTTTTTTTACGTCACACAGGGAAGGGATGGTTCTGATGGAGCCACTGGTGCCAAGGGAGCCACTGGATCTCAAGGTGACAAGGGATCTCAAGGACCGCAAGGACCTGCTGGAACCGCTGGAGTGCCTGTAAGATTTACCCCCAAACTTTGACCAAAAAAAAAGAAACTATACTCCCTTGTTTTGTCCCTTAAAGTATTCAGCACTAAATGTGCAGCCTACAAATGTAACCACTAGTGTATGTCATATATTTCAAGGGGATTCTAATTGAGATAATCAGAGTGTAGAGAAAATTATGTATCTTGTAAATTTGTCTTGTCAGGGTCGTCAAGGCCCGATGGGTGGTCCGGGTGAGCGTGGCAGTCGTGGAGCTGCTGGACCTGCTGGACCAAGAGGTGGCGCAGGAGCCGATGGAAACATGGGACCTGCTGTAAGTCGGATTATTATTATTTTTTTTTTTTAATTTCAATTTTACCTTTTATACGGGGTTGGAGGGGCACTCTCTTATTGAGACGTGTCTGAATTGCGGCCTCATGTCAAAAAGCCGCTTGTCAGAAGAAAAAAATCGCTCAGAAAATGTACATACTTAGCAACAGAAGCTGATAACAAAGTAATTTACATCTGATGGCATTTTGGCATCAGTTGTCGCTGAGCAACATTTTGTTATGCTTAGTAGATTTTCACTTTCACCACCTCCAGGACATCCCAGATACCAAGATTTTTTTTCAAAATTGTTTTTGCACGTAAATCCAAGTCCAAATTCAAGTGCAACCAAATTCTTTTTGTATCAGAAATGCTAAGGTTTTCCAACACTTTCATTGTGTGGGTGTTTTTGTTTTGTTTTCATTTTAGGGACCTGCTGGACCTGCAGGAGCCAGGGGTGAAACAGGTGCCACAGGAATACAGGTGGGTGCTATCCATTTTGTTAGTAAAAACGTCATACACGCGCACGCACATGCAAACTAGCGCCCATTGGATAAACGCTCGAGTTGCGTTAACTTCCGGTTCCATTCGTGCTATGCTGCACCATGTGAAGTACATATGGTTGAATTGAGATGATGTCACACTAACGAACCGGATAGCAAAATTGTACTCATTAGCATTTATATTGTGTTACACTTTGTTTATACATTGTATTTTATCGTGTTTATTCCCTGATAAATCCATGAAGCCATGCAGTGCTGGGGCATTTGGGGTGACACGTGACACACGGAGTAACAGACAGGGTGGTGTGGGGTGGTACAGGGGCTAATTGGTTGAAATGGATTCTCCCTTGAATTTGATGGATGAAGTTCTGAAAATAGTTGAGAATTGAAAATTAAAAAGGGTACATCATGATCAACTAATAAAGTTTGAAAAGATTTTTTTATAAACAATCATGGATTTTTGCACTCATGTTTTGTAATCTGTTTTTTTTTGTTTTAGGATTGAAACGTTAGGCCCCTTTATTGTTGTTGATCCAGCCAGTGAGCAGTTGGCAGCAGTTTTATTCATTTTTTTTTTGGTTTTTGTTTTTGCCTGCAGGGACACAAGGGATGGGGTGGTTCTCCCGGCAGACCAGGATCCGCTGGACCAAAAGTGAGTTCCAAACATTTGTTAATGTTGGTCTTAATTCCTGGTTTTTATAGTTTGGTAAATTTACTAATGATTTTATTTTGTATAGACACTTTCACAAATCACTTCTTTTCCCCTTCTTAATGCTAGGGTCCTACTGGCGCCCGTGGTGCGAATGGAAGACCTGGTCCTGCTGGTCCCGCTGTGAGTTCTCAAAAACAAAACTTAATTTGATAAAAATAATTATTAACTCTTAATTTCTGATGCTGTTGAGTCAGGAACATTCCTCAAAATCCTCAACTGGGCAGAGAAAAAAAAAATTATTTGCTAAGCGACGTGGTCCAGTGGTTACGGTGTTCGACTCATGTGCCGTGGTACGTGGGTTCGAACCTCCATGGGAAACATGGTGCTTGTGCCCTTGGGTAAGACACTTTACTACAATTTGCCTCTCTCCACCCAGGAGTAAAAATGGTATACCTGTGAGGGTAGAGACAGATTGTCCAGATCTCGAGTTGCTGTGGAAACAATAATGCTCTCATGGCCTGATGAACAGGGGTAATATTGTGAATGAAGCGCTTTTAGATCTTTATTATTGTTATTCGTACCCAAAGAATCAAAGGGGATATCAATCCCGTGTTAAGTACCGCGGTGTCTGGCAGGCGCGGTTCTAGAACCAATATTTTGGGGGGCTAGCACGGTGGATCCAGAATTTTTTTAGGGAGGCGTGCTGAAATGTAGACCGGTTATTTTTTCCAGACACTTAGGCCTCCGAAAATCAATAGGTTGGGGGGGGGGGGGGGGGGGGCTCATGCCATATTTTCAATGGGGAGCGCCAATAAAATCCTAAAATCATTCACACTATATTAACTACAAATGCACCCTTGTCATGATTATTTCTTTAGGGGGAGACCGTTCGCATGTACATCACAATCCTTGTTTTTGCTAATGCAATTTTTTTTTTTTTACGGAATTTATTTTGGGGGGGCTAGACAAAATTTGGGGGGAGGGGGCTACAGCCCCCCCTAGCCCCCCCGTAAAACCGCGCCTGGTGTCTGGACTCTAACTTACTCAATCCTGCAAAATCCATCAAAACCCTCTGTTGGACTTTGAAGGATCTTGGAGTGTTTTGTAGTTTCCTACATGATGTTTCCTTGATCATTTTGTAGGGTATTGATGGCGCTCGTGGCAGGAATGGCAACAACGGTCAGCAAGGACCCCGCGGTATGGCTGGACCAGGAGTAAGTGGTCTCATACTACTTTGGTTTTAATTTCTCCCCTTTTTTCATTTAGAGATTTTCCAGTGTGGAGTTTTTTATTCAAAATGTTCAAAATGGTGGTTGGGAGCCAGAAAAAAAAAAGGATCACTATTACAAAGAATCTGGATATTTTTTTTCAGCGAAGGCATCCATTAAACGACCAAAAAAATTGACAAGGTTAGAAACTGCCTGAATGAGGGAAGAACAATATTGGCAATGATACAAATGTTTATCAGAAATAAACAAGTTGAATTGGAAGTCCATTTTTTCCCCCATTGAAATCATGTATCTGTCATGTTCTTTAGGGCCAACGTGGTGCAGGTGGTAGGAGTGGGCCAGCTGGACCCCCAGGACCCCCAGGAAGGGCTGGAGCACCTGTAAGTCTAACCATTGTTTTTTTTTTGCACCTGTTCTTCCACCTCATAAAGAGGCGGGGAGTTGATCAGAATGTGGGGGGAGATCAGGGTGGAGACAACATGATTAAACCATTCCAGAATCAGATATAAGCCCCGCCCAACTTTTGGTCTGTGCACATTACTCACGTGCTTGTGACCGCATTTGACGATAAATCTACTGTGGTCACCTGATTCAAAGTCTTGATCTAATTGGTCAATGCACACTGTTTGATTGACAGGTCGGGATGGTCTACCTTACATTAGAAAAGCCAATCCCAGATTGAGCAAATTTGTACTCTCTTGCAATTTCCATGCAAAAATAGTTGGTATCATGAAGAGCATCATTTGTGTATCTGTATCATATAGTCGGCAAAGCATCCCAGGGAAAACATCACACCAACTTAATAGAGAGAAGACAACAAGAAGAAATTACAGTTTTAGAAGAATGACACGTAATTTTCATATTCATGTGAAGGATGACACGTAACATACACTGTACATTTTCTTCCATACAGGGAGCACTCAGCTACTCAGGGGTGAGTTATTTTGATGATTGATTCAATGTTCCTTTTTCTTTCCTTTTTCTTTTGAAAAATCCTGGGGTTCTCCTCACTGACATTATAAAATCACAAAAATCATTTAATGAAATTGAGTTAGCTTTCAATGTCTTCTTTTTTGTGTGTGTAGAATTAGTGTCGCCAAAACTTCTTTGCTGACTTTCTTCCACCAAATTTTATCAAAGAGTTTTCACTCTGTGATGTAGTTCTAATTTATTTCATCTTTTATCAACACAGTACGCCTACTCTGGTGGTTCATATGGTGTTAGCCAGGGCGACAAGGGACCCAACCCCTACGCTAATTACGTAAGTTGTGTCAAATGTTCTCAAATTTGCTTGCGTATCTTTTGTTATGATTGTGTTTGTTGTTGCACATTAGAGCTTGTTGGCAAATTTGTGTTGAAAAATTCTTGTCTTACCAGTACGGCGACGATGCCACAATTGCCGAGGATGACTACGAGGCCCGCATCATTCAGCTGAGAAATCGCATTGAGAGGCTGCTGCTGCCCAATGGTGAGCCAGAGTACCCAGCCCGCTCCTGTAAGGATCTCTTCAAGTGCCACCCGATACTCCCAAGCGGTGAGTAAATCTTTCTATCATTAGTCCGATTTTAGCATAAACCTGTTCCGATTTGCGTGGACCTAGCAATTATAAGTACACCACTTTCACAGACCTTAGCAAACTTTCGACAGAAACGAGCTCAGCTAAAAACTGAAACTGTGGTGAGCAGCAATCCAAAATTCCAACTTCTACCGTTTTGGAATCTCAACAGTGAACTGCCAGATTATCGGCCCCGTGCGCAAACAAGACAGGGTGCTTTTTTACAACTTTTGAGAGCCCCATGGACGGGACACACCGCGTGTGCGTACCAGTTTCCATGTGTATAGCTCGAAGTACGCACGACTTATTTTATTCTGGATGTGCGCATAGTCACTGCATCTTGACATGAGCATCAGGCGTCATTGGCAATTCTCCTTTTCTTACCGTTGAGGGGGTACTTGCGCTTGGAGCACATAGGGGCAGTAACCAAGTCCATCGCACGTCGAAGCACACTTGTGAATTGTAATCCTCTCAAGAATGTCATCCAATAAACAGCAACATTTTCTGGTGGCTATGAGATCTTTTTGAAGATCTGTTTGAATGAAATTAAATAACTAGAAATTGGCAAATTTGAGTCATCGATTAACGTCTACATTTTGACCATTTTTGTAGGCTACTACACCCTGGATCCCAGCGGAGGCTCCCACTACGACAAATTTGTTGCCTACTGCGACAAGAAGACCAACGCTACCTGCATCTACCCAGACTACCCAGAGGTTAGACCCCCCCCCCCCTCTGCCCTCCCCCAAATTAAGACATCAGCAGATCAGTGTGATCAGAATACTCAGTTCCCTTGTGTGACAATCTCACTCCAGCATTAACGTTGAACAAAATCCTTCAAATCCCAATCCTGTGGATTTTCTTCTAATCCGTAACATCATTTTTCTCCCATTTCTTTCCAGATTCCCAAAGCTACCTACTATCTTGGGGAGCCAGAGGAACCCGTTGTCTTCTCCGAAATGAGGAACGGCTCTATAGTAAGTTGGGTTCAATTCTCGAAATTGTTCTGGCTTTTTCTTGTCGAAAGAATGACTTGGCCGGAAATAACGATCCCAAAGATTTTTTGCTCAATCCAAAACTTCTTTGATTTTCCAATCCTCACACCAGATCAGCTACAGCGTCAAGCCTGTGCAGCTGACCCTCCTGCGACTGATCTACTCTGAAGCCAAGCAGAACCTGACCTACAACTGCAGGAACTCTCACGCCGTCGAGAACAACACGGGTAGCTCGCAGAAGGCTCTGACCCTAGTGGGACCCAACGACGTACGCATCAGCATCAAGAACACCCAGGCAGACTTGCAGTATAAGGTGGACGGAGAAGATGGCTGCAAGGTGAATTTCTATGCATCTCAAATCCTAGTTTTATGACAGTGTTCACACACGAGGACAGTGTTAAGACGTCGAGTGGTAAAACGTCTGTACTTGTAATACTAGGAGGAGGTCGTATGTTGGAGTCCCATTGTTTTTTTCACTCACAGACACTCGGGGGCGACACTGCGTATACAGTGTTTATAAAATACATCAGTGAAGGAAAAAAACCACTATTGAGTGTTTTTACCATTGAGGGGTACTTGCGCATAGATTCTTAAATCATATATCTTCTGGGTTTTTATCGACGTTTTAGGTACACGACAACACCTGGGGCAAGACCACCGTCTCTTACAGCACCAAGAAGACCGAGCGTCTACCCCTGGTGGACTTTGCTGTGTCAGACGTCGGCAGAGCCAAGCAACAATTCGGGGTGGAAGTCGGCCCAGTCTGCTTCTCATAGAGGCCCCTATCACAGCACTGAAGACGTCATGGCATCAGTTACACGATAAACAAAAAATCTGATTAACTGTACACCTAGAAAAACACCTTTTTTTATTGAATAAACACTAAGGAATTGGTCAGATCATTTTACTTCAGTCACATAACTCTTGCAAAAACACTGAAATTACTTTGCTTAGAAGGATAAAAGACTGACGCCAGAATTACATTCCTGAATTTAAAATCGTTTAGTTTTGGGATATTTTTAGTGACTGTTTCTGCCATGACATTTGCTCAATAACTTTAATAGTATACTTCCCTTTATAAAGGCTGCAGAGGAATGTTCCTTGAATGGTGCTATTTTTAGACTGGTTAATTAATTAATCTGTATTCTTTTAAAGTTAAAAAAAAAAAGCTGAGTATGTTTACTTTGTTGTTGTCGAAATACTTAAGGATGCTATACTTTAGAATGAAAATTGCTTTTATAAAGTAGATACTAAACGGCATGCATGAAGCTTTCTCCACTTCGCTTTTCCTTTTTTTTTTTTTTACTTAATTGTCATTAAAAAAAACAAAAGTACTGAAGTCTCATAAATAGGGACCACTTTGAATGTAGTGCATGTTGCTTTTTAGATCAGCAAGTTAAATAGAAAGTGGCGAGTCACTGAGTCGGTACTCGCCATTTGTCTTTTCCAAAAAAAAAGTGTCAGAGTATTTGTTAAGCAGAACGTTTTTTAGTTAACAATTTGGCAGGTCTGGTTTAAAAACAAGTTATATTTTTGTACACCACTTTGAAATGTGGAAACATTTTTCATCGGAGGACTGTCATTCAAATTGTGTCTTTTTGAGCCAGTTTGACATTTTACCTATAGAGCACAATAAAGCTTCTCATTTAAACCATAAACACACTTGGAATTTTGTTTTATCGCGAGAAGACATCGGCTGAAGACGACCTCCTGCATCGCGTCACATCGAATGGGAATCAGAAGAACTTATTCATTCTCCAGTTCAATCATCCAATCTTTGGACAGTGTCGGTTGAAATGGTAGCATTTATGTAATGTTCAAGATGTTCAGCCAATTTTTTTTTTTTTTTTGCGTCAACTAATGAACAGAATTTGCCCTTTATCATTTTATTTCTGTTGGCAAAAGACGAATTGCCCCAAAATAATACATACAAAAACCAAGCACAAGAAAATATGTGTCATCAAATTGGTTTTTCGCTTTTTCATGTATATTTTATTAGTATTTTCCTTACTCTTTGAATAAGAAAAAAGGCTCCAGGATTAGTTACCGGCATCAATAGTAAAATTCCTATTACATTGTAGCTCCTCTGGTCATCGTAAGAACTGCAACAATAATGGGTACTGCTGACAAATGCAACAAAATTACACTTTGACTGAATTGGCAATTTTTAACCTTGTAAAATCTACAACTGCAAAAATTGACATCAAGAAGGCAGCCCAAACCAACAACTTGAAATTTTATCTAACACGGAATTGTCTACAATAAACAGCAACTGAAAAAAATTACAAGAGATCTAGGTATGTGTTTGAGATCTTCGCTGGAAAAATGATGGCATCACGTCGGTTTATCATGCAGCTGTTATGAAGACAGTAATTAGGACAATACAAAAATGAATTAATCTACGAACTGAATAACACAATACATGTACAGCACTGATACGGGTTACAACGTGAACACCATTTTGAAGCCGTGTTGACAAACTCGCTACTCTTTTTATTTGATAAATGTCAACGTAAATCTACAACGAAATTGAATTCCAGTAAAGTGGGCTTTGGGGCAACCCGTATCAATGGTTCAAGTATAATACCGAAGTCTTTACCGAAGTAAACACGTGAAGAATGTGTACATTACGGCATACACTGACGCTATGCTATCGATGCCAGGTAGTCTTTGACTTCGGCTGGTTCCAGTCGACGGAAACCGTTCTCGTTGCAGATACCAATCTCTATGTTGTCCTCGTTCATCTGACCTTCAAAGCTTTCCTGTCAACAACAACAACAAAAAAAGACATAAAAATACAACACGATGTAAACAATGAGCAACCAAGCGATACAAGATTTTTGTATCAATAAACCTTTTGCATGTAATAATAATAATAATAATAATAACGGAGTCTTATATAGCGCACGTATCTACCAACAATTAGGTACTCAAGGCGCTGGAAATTATGTCTATTATTAAAGAAAGGTAAATAAAGTATATGAGAAATATGAGACCCATTATGCAGCACCTTATAAGGGTTGACAAGGTGCTGCGGCGCATATTGCAGCCACTGCCAGAAACACCAGGGCAAACCCCTTCTCTTAGCGATAAGTGTTACTGGGTTCTTTAACGTGCATTACACAACACATTGGACCTACGGCTTTACGTCCCATCTGAAGGACAAAGCAATAATGGTAAAGTGCCTTGCTTAAGAGCACAAGCGCCATGTTCCCAAGGTCAGGATTCGAACTCATGTAGCAGTCACTTTGATGTGTTATGTTAATTCAATAACATGAATGCACAGGTTGTCTACTCGTGTGAATCCTTGCAGAACCATAGTACAAGCCTCAAAGAGGGCAACAAAATTGCTAAAAAAATCATAAAGAAAGGCGCATAACAACTAACTTGGTGAAGTTTCAGCTCAGTGGATACTTTACGTTTTGAGAAAGCAGAGAAAACATGTACACCACAATTTTTGAGGTCTCGTAAATGGATTCTGTTGCTAACACTTGTAAAAACTGTGCCCGTAGGCACACTTTCTTAAATCACCTTCAATGGTTGTTTTCTTCCGAATGATGCCATTTCAGGCGGCCACGTTTCACATTGTGTTTGGTACCAGTCCTATCTTCACTTTCTTGTAAACGATTTCTTGTTAAATCGGTAGGTAAGTTTCCGGGCAATTGCAAATGTTCCTATGTGCCTTTAACTGGGGAGTCAGTTTGGGGCACAGTTCTTTCCTCGCCTTCCACCGCTGTGACCCGGGTTCAATTCCTGCCCTGGCCAATATGTGGATTGGGTTTTCAGTCCCTGCCTGATTCCGTGGGTTTCCCCAGAACATTCTTCTGGGGTTCTCCCAACTCTAAAACTGCAATTTCTTCTCATTGTCTCCTCTCTTCAGGTTTCTTCAGGCTTGCGAGCTACAGTGCCTAGGGCGCTTTTGAGGAATCCTTAATTTCATTACCAGATATAAATAATAATAATAATAATACAAATCAATGAGTGTTCAATCATATGACCTGTCAGTGTTTTTACATGTCTGGTACTTGGTTCCATACCTTGAGTGTGAGTATAGCCGTGTGCACCGCATCCTCCAATTCCAAATCCTCGTTGTACCTCTTCTCTAAGAACGTCTTGCCGTTGATGTGGTTCTTGCCCATAGCCGTAGCCTTCCAGGGGAAGTAGGCCCCTGAGGGATCACACTGGAAGAGGAAAGGCTTCTTGTCGTCTTCATCCCAGCCGGCGACTAGGAGAGACACGCCGAACGGACGCACACCGCTGGTGGGTAAAAGAATGTAAAGATATTGTAGTTTTAGATCAGATTGGAATAAACTTTGTGATTACTGCAATGGACACATTATACGATGAACCTTTTGCATGAGCAGTAGATGATGCTTTGTGACCACTTGTGAGCTTCATGGGAGGGACACATTTACCCTTTTTGCAAAAGTTGGGGGATTTTGATGGATTCAGGACAGCCTAGCGGTACTGCAGGATTTTCATGGATTCAGGATCTCAACAGTTTAACTCCTTGGCTATATGTTTGGTGTGTACGAGGTATATGTACTACACTGGTGGATTCTGATGGACTCACTGGTGGATTCTGATGGACTCAGGACACCAACATTTTTTGCATGACAAAATCGGTGGATTTGGCGGATTCAGGAGACTTTCTAGTAAAAGTGCTCAAGGAGTTAGGGTTAATAGTAATAATAATAATATGGGAGGTTAATCATCCTTACTCGCAGCTGAGAAGCTGAATTGCAAAGGGCGCGGCTACGTGGTCGAGCAGAAGGCACGTAAAGGCGCCTTTGGCAGTAACTTTTGACGGGCACCATACGACCCATGTATGACCACGGACCACACCCAGAGACCAAAAGTGTTGATTTTTGCAAAAGGAGGAAAACTGGAGAGCCTGCAGAAAGGCCCTAGTGGCACAGAAGAGAATCAACGAACAACTCTACTCACATATGATCCGTGTCGGGAATCGAACCAGGGCCATATTGTTGAGAGGCGAGTGCTTTACACACTAGTCTCCCATTGTGTGCATACACTGATTTCTGAGGATTAAGTCTAGTTACTTACCCAATCTGTGTGTATTCCTGCATGACATTAGCCACTCTCTGGACCAGCTGTGCCGTTGGGATCTGCTCCTGGTAGGTAAGGAAGTACCCCTGGGCCAACTTGCGAGCTTGTCTTAACAATAACCTGACAAAGTAAAGATTGTAAAATCACCCATCCTTCCAAGATATTGCATTACTTTATCATTCTTAGCTGAATACATGAGGGTTGGAATAAGCTGAGAACTTTTGTATTAAGTTGCAGCAAAAGCACTAACATTGGCAACTTAACCCTTAAACTATGCCAATATGCTCCACAAAAAGCTGTGGAAAATTGGGACTTAAACTTTTTTTTTTATCAGAGTGTCATCTTCATGGTCTTTAACTTGTAAATGGGATAATCGATATATCGAATATTCTCGATATTGGATCCCACATTACAGATTATTGAAAATATTGACAGTGTTTATTTAAAACTAAAGAACTGAATGGAGGGGAAGACCCAAACCATCTGAAATAAAAGTTTACGAATTTCCGGCAGAAACCACACCTGTAGTCGGGACCCATGCCACTGTAGACCATGCCAATGTTCTTAGTGATCTTCTCAATCTTGCGCACGCTGTGCTCCTCGTACAAGACAGACTTGTGCTTCTTCTCGGTTGCTATGACGACCCCATTGGATGCCTTGATGCCCACAGAGGGCGCCCCCGCTGCCACGGCATTCAGGGCATACTCAATCTGTACCAGCTTCCCAGATGGGCTGATGGGTATAAAAAAAAGGACAAGTGAGTGACCCAGATACTATAAGATTCTAAAATGCTTGACATGTACAATTTAGGCGAAGTAACAAAAAAAAAGTTTCTCGTCCCCGCCCGCTTCCTTTTTGGAGGCCGCCTGGATTTTTTATTATTTTTTATTTTTAAAAAATGCAGTGAAAAAACACCGAAAAAGTCCACAAATTCATCGGAAAATAAATACTTGCATCTAAAACTGTTCATAGTAGACCAATACAAATCTAAATGACACTGTAAATATGTTCAGTTCTCTTGTCTAACTTGTCTTTCATTTTAAAAAGTGTCTTTGAACAGTGGAAACACCAACGGTTGCAGGAAATTTTAAAATGGCGGCCATCTTGAAAAAAAATCAAAAATCAAAAATAAAAAGCCCCTCTTCCTCCTTTTTTTCAAAAACCCGGACGATAAACATTTTTTTTTTTTATTCGGCCATAGATACATTTAAGAGTGGAAAAAGATTACCTCCTTTTGACTCAAGTACAAAAGATGCATTTAAGAGACTTGACTGAGAAAAATTGGAATGAATTATAAGCCAGCAATTCATTGGACAAGTTTGAGATACGTTTTAATTAAAAGCAAAAATATAATTAGATTGCCAAGATTCATAGTAAAATAATACCACTGCCTCTCAAAATAAGCAGGTGCCTTTTTTTGTGATAATTTTAGGCCATGAGAATGATTTTTTTAGATGTGCGTCTGAAAACATTTGGAAAGGCATGGGGCTAGTTTTATGTTTCATTAACCCTTACTCTCTGAGGGTAGTTTACTGCATGTCAGTTGGTTATGCCAATGCCCTCCAGCTGCAGTATATTGGCAGATAAACTATCTTGACAGTGAAGGCTCCAATTGGCAGGAGTTGGAGGCCCTGGAGGGTGCCTGATACTGACCAGCTGGGGGCACTCACTTTGTTATCAGAGGACTCTCATTGTTCTCTGTGGCATGTATTGGAGTGCCTGTCCAGTTACCCTTGAAATGACATGGCAGATATTGGAGGGCCATGCAAAAAACATAGGAGATTTTCTTGAGGCACATATTGGCATGCGTTGGAGGGTCAAGTAGGGTAAGGGTTAATTCATTTTTTTCCCCATTCTTTCTTCCAGTTAGGTTTCAGATGACTTCTCTTATACTTCAAGTTTAAATTGACGAATCACAGTTTTAACAATGTGTCATACTGATCCAGGGATTCAAGCATAAATTGTTAAATACTGACGTTTGGACAACTGTTAATCCTTTTGAAAGAGAAGTTTCTTTGGTGTGATACGTTTCCTTTTTGTGAAATAATGACATAGTTTGTGAGCAGTAGCGGGTGCTGGATGTAAATCTAAATTTTTCATTCTCATGGCCATTAACAGACAGAAGTTCAAGAAAGATGTCTAGTTCCACGTTACTCATGTCCTGAAGTATAATATTACAGAGTTAAACATTGTCAAATTTGAAAACGGTGTTCATTATAATTTAGTATCATGATAGATTATTATCATGAGATATCTCCAAAGTGCCATATATATCTTCCACTGCATTCCACCATGGTTCCTCCACTATTGCCATGACCACTGCACTGGAACCACTGTGGCTACTGCTATGGCAGCCATAATGCGATTTTCATCTGCTATCGTTACAGCATTGCAAAAACTACATCACTGTGGTAGCTGCTATGCAAGACCCGTGAACGTGGCTATATACATAGCCACGCTCCAGAGTTGCGTAGAAACACTCAACGCACGAGATTTTACGGGAACCAAGAAGGCTCCTACCATTTCACGCGTGAATGACTCAGAAAAACAGCGTACTGTGCGTGATCTAAGAAAATAAAAAATCTGCTCGTACGTTTGTTGTTCTTGAGGTCGTTTTTACCCCTCAAATTTCTTGGCAATGCAAAATTCTACACTCGCGTGAATTTACAGAAAGCTTCATATGTAAGTACTTCAAATACTGGCAAAATGACGTGCTGCCTGACAATTTCGAGTGTTTTTACGCGAGGCTGGAGCGTGGCGTTGTTATTGACGGCACGTTTACGGGTCTACTGCTATGCCAAACATTTTTTCCCTCTTTTTTTTCCTTTTTATAGATTCCATTTACTTTTAAATTTTTCAATCAAATCCGACTAGATTTTATTTTCTTCTTCATAATCCGTGGCTTTGGACACTGTTGAATTTTTTTTTTAAAGGGAATTAAAGTTCGAGAACATAGGCCTATATCATGTATATTGTCATTAGGGTTAGGTTGATAATCTGGACTGGTTCTCAGAGCCAAAGATCCTGACGTTGAATACTATCGAATATTATTAGGTCAGGGAACCATCCGGTCGACTGCCGTAACAACAGCCACTGCGAAAAAAAAAAAAATTACATGAAGGTCAATGACTGGCACACTGGCCTGTGTACTGAATCAATGGCTGATGACTTTGCAAATAATGACCCAAGTCCAATGATAAAAATGTAACCTTTAAAAAATTCTGACTACATATTTCTTTGCGCTAAGTTGATTTTAAGGAAATACAATATCTAAACAACAAGGCTGGATGAATAAAAAAGCAGGTTTAATGTGAAATTTACCTGAAAGTTGTCAGCGAAAAACTGTAGCGTTCGGTCATGTTGAATGTTGTGCTGCTGGGTGGTGGAAATTACCCAGACGCTTTCAAATATCGTTTGCACAGATGATGAGCATGGGTACCTGACTACATCCACTCAACAAATGGGGGCGCTATATCAAATTTGTTGTGCAGTGCCCCCGTGCACATGTAATACACATGTTCTTTATTTTGCACAGAACACAAAATAAAAACATGAATAAGTCAGCCCTTGTAATTAGAATTCTTCAAAGAATTCAACTTTCTTTTAAACATTTCGAGTTGACATTGTGGGAGGGGTATGGAGGCCACCCACCAGTAGGTAAGAAGTTTCAATATCTTACACGTTTGTGAAAGATTTACATGATTGATGATGATGCATTGATGAACATTTTTGGGTAAGAATGTTGCAACCTGACGCTGTTTTTTTCTTTAATCTCAATGTAGCTGGAGTTACCCAGCCCTAAATTTTGTCATTGGGTTGTCATTTAAATGGCAACCCTATGATAAAATTTAGGGCTGGGTAACTCCAGCTAATCTCAATGAAGGTCAGTCATTGCAAAAATGATGATAAGACATGAATATGGGACTGAGAAACATTTCCAATTTTGTTAGGAAATACTTATAATTTTTTTTGACTCTCCATAGACTTTGTACACATGCGCTGAAGTGACTTCAGGTTGCAACATTCTTTCCGAATGTTGATTGACATTTGTCATTACTTTTTATGTTAAATATTTAACCCTTACCCTACTTGACCCTCCAACGCATGCCAATATGTGCCTCAAGAAAATCTCCTATGTTTTTTGCATGGCCCTCCAATATCTGCCATGTCATTTCAAGGGTAACTGGACAGGCACTCCAATACATGCCACAGAGAACAATGAGAGTCCTCTGATAACAAAGTGAGTGCCCCCAGCTGGTCAGTATCAGGCACCCTCCAGGGCCTCCAACTCCTGCCAATTGGAGCCTTCACTGTCAAGATAGTTTATCTGCCAATATACTGCAGCTGGAGGGCATTGGCATAACCAACTGACATGCAGTAAACTACCCTCAGAGAGTAAGGGTTAATCATTAATTTAGCTGTATTTCTATTTTTAATTGACAATTTAGTACTGTCACGCCCCAACTATCGCATCGGTCCCAACTATAGTTGGGGCTGTCCCAACTATAGTGCGGCAGTTGGGTCGGCCCAACTATAGTTGGGACTGTCCCAACTATAGTAAGATAGTTGGGTCGGCCCAACTATAGTTAGGACTGGAGTTCCGTGGTGCTGGCACCATGTATTCGTTGTGCATGCGTGTTGCGGGGCTGGCCTGCCACGTGGTACTGCGTAATTGGATGAGTTGTCCAGCTGGGTCACAGTCCAGCAACATTTTGCAAAATTCAAAGATTGGCGTGGCCGGCCAACTATGGGCCCCACCCATAGCTAATGTCAAAGGTCCCAAAAAAAACAAGTAAAGTCGGACGTGTAACAGAGCTATATAGGGAATGTTTTATAGTCGTACATCAATGTGAACTAAAGTTGGGACCGCAAAATAAAAATATTGCAGTGGCCCAACTATAGATGGGCCCCACCCATAGATAATTTCATTGGTCCCCAGTACAGTCATACGTGTATCAGAGCTGTAGGGAACGTTTTATAGTTGTACATCAATGTTACTATAGTTGGGACACTGCAAAATAAAAAGATTGGACTGGCCCAACTATAGATGGGCCCCCTTGATGACTCCCAACTATAGTTGGGCCCCCTTGATGACTCCCAACTATAGTTGGGCCAGCCCAACTGTGGAACCACAGTTGGGACCGTCCCAACTATAGTTGGGACAGTCCCAACTATAGTTGGGACCGATACCATAGTTGGGGCGTAACAGTACCGTTTACATTGTGTATCTGCCCTAACTTTGTGGCGTATGATTCAGTTGCAAATTGTTTTTATTTAATTGTCTTTAATCAATTGTTTACATGTAATTCTTCACTCCAGGCCCAGCTCTCGCCATTGACAGCTCAGCTGTAATTCCAGATAGGTCGTCAGAAAGTGGAGGAGGCCTTGCCAGTATATTTGACGGCTTGTTATGGGCTGTACCCAAGCACCGACGTTCCATCCAGCGCAATCGCACGAGACGGAGAGCTGAGGATAAGATGATCAAACACATACCCGAGGAGAAGTTTACAACTTGCGAAGTGTGCGGTCACGCCAAGATGATCGGGTTCTTATGTGGGTGAGTTTAGGACTGTAAAACTTCTCTCTTTCAAGAGAGAGTTGTTTGCTACCCCCTAACTTAGTCCGAGTAACTAGGACTCTACGAATCGCCTTTTTTAACATTTTGGAGATGGTCAGGCGATAGTAGGGTCCTAGGATCTTAGAGTACATGGCGATACCAATAACCTATTTTGACCATTTTCACTTGTACCCCCTATCAAAATCTTCAGATTTCACCCCCAAAACAGTCTTCAAACTGCCTGATGCGCCCCTGTAGGCTTCAGTGGGAATTGAAAATACAAATGGTGGTGGTTAGGTTCACATACCTTTGGGAAGAAAAGAGAAGTTTCACCTTCAATTCAGGAAACATCCTTGTCACAAACGCCTTGTTGGAGGCGCCATTTTGAATTCAGGAAAAATTGACTGGCATCAGACAGACCAATCACAGGGCACTTTGATTTGTCACCTGGGCACTTTGATTGGTCATCTGGATTGGTCGCCATGGTGACCAATCAAAGTGCCCTGTGATTGGTCTGTCTGATGCCAGTCAGTTTTTCCTGAATTCAAAATGGCAGCCTCCAACAAGGCGTTTGTGACAAGGATGTGACTAATGGCTGTGGCCCCAACCATAGTTGCGACTGTCCAGACAATACTTAGGGAATTCCTTACTACGTCAGTAGGGCAACACTATCCCTTAGGATTGGCCCAACTATAGTAAGGAATCCCCCAAGTATTGTTGCGAGTTCGGGTATAATACTATAAATAGCTCAAGAGAGATAGAGACTTAACTAGTATGGCACTTTCAGTTCATAAAATGTCGTTTTTCTTGATTATTTTTCCAGACACTGTTTGATCAGAATACGACAGGAGACGCGAGAGATTAGGAAACAGCTCATGGGACAGCGGGACGAAACAGACGCACTCCCCGACAGGGAGACCGTCGTCGTTTACGAGGGCGAACCATTGCGGCCGGAAGAGGAGGGGAAAGAGATTGTCGAGATGAAGAAGAAGAGACCCTCGTGGTTCAGCAGGGCTCTGCTGGAGTAGATCGTGGAGCAAGAAGATGGAAATCTCCCCACGATTAATGTTGCAGTTCTTCCCAACTTTTTCTTTGGATTGTTCCGGATTTGGCCATAAGCTCCGCCCAACCTTCACAGTCTTTGTGACTAATTTTGAACGAGCTGTTGTGGTCACATGACCAAAAGTACGGATCCAATTGGTCAAAATGGGAAATGTTTGATCACCAGACATTACTTTTTCCTACCGCAAGGAAACGCACCATTGTGATGCAGATGAGGCAAATGCAACACTGCCCTCTGTTGACAGCCAGCAGCAGACTTACGAGTTGTACACTTCTGATGCTTTCTGAATATTTCTGCTCAGAATCATCTATTCATTGTAGGTATTTTTTTTTTCTACTAAGATCCACAAAAGAACATGATGCAAATTTGCTATTTTTCAATCACATTTTTAGGCACAATGTAACTCATGAACAATGATGCTTGTTTGGGTTTCAAGTTTTATACAAATGTTTTTTTGCCCTAGTAAATGTGACACATTTTTCTATTTGAAGAAAGTCGGGACAGGAACAACCAATTTCTATTCCAAATCAGGCATGTTAGAGGTTTGAAAAAAGGTAATAAAACATGACAAAATTTACACCTAAAAGTATTCTCAATTTGTTTTTTCATTCCAAGGGAAAAACAAGTACAAAAGTTTAATACTTGAAAGGAGAGGTCAATATACATGTATTTACATTTATTACAACAATAAATACTTTGCTACTTTGATTTTGGCATAATTTGATGTGGTTACCCACTTTACCAAATATATATTGCATTTTATGCAAACCTAAAGAAACTATAATTAAGCAAAAATAAACTTATTGAATATAAACAAAAACAACATTGCACCTTTCAAAATGTCAATTTTCAAAAAAGTGCCAAGTTTGGACATCATGGACATATTTAAGCATTTCAGCATTTGATCCAGCACGAAAACTAGTTCAATCTCTGTTTTATTTGTATATAAAAACATGTAAGCAAACCTGTTTTTTTTAAACATAATACAGTGGATTGGAAAGTGTCCAATGTTCAACTGCATTTTTTTTTCACACACTGATAATGCAGCCTTACATCCTGTTTTACACCAGTTTTCTTAACCCCATGCATAGCATTTGATCATGAGCAGCCACTTTCCTGCTGCATATATCTCAAGGCACATAATTATGTTCAATGTAAATATAAAAATGTTAACAAAAAATGGACCAAAAGTTGACATACAATTGCCCAATAAATCTCATACAAAAAAGTGATTCATTAAAAACCGCACAAAATAGAGGTAAATGTAAAATAATGCATTTATAAAACGTTGAAGATGACAATGTTTAACGTCAGCATGTCAAATTAAAAATTCTGTACATTGCTATGTACAATGCCTTTGGTTATCAAACTCCACAGAATGGACCATTCAGGATGTGGGCCTAAGCCCCGCCCACCTTTGATATGTTAACTACCATGATCACCTGACCAAAAGTCACGCCCTAACTGGCCAATGTGCACTGTTTGATTGATGGGTAGGAGGGGTCTATTCTGTGCTCCCCCAAAAGTGAAATCAATAGCAATTTATGCAAATCTCGACACAATTAAGATGCATCATGTGACAACTTGTAGAGAGACTTGCTTGAAGACATCCCTCCTCCTCGTCTCCCTTGCATCCTTGGAGGATATTGGGGCGTAGAAGTAGAGAGCCAAGCAGTAGAAGACAAAGACCACACTCTTCACAATCACGCCCAGCACGGTGACATAGAGGGAAAGATGGGCGCGGTTGTAGAACCAGCACTGGCCACTCGCCTCACATTCCTGATGCCACAGCGTGCAGGTGGCGTCAAAGATGTAACCGAAGATGATTGGGCTGGGGATGGATCCTTCAAAGGAAGATGGTCGAAAGGAGATTCAAGAATTTTGCACTTCATGTAATTTTGGGAGTCATTCCCAAATAAAATTTGGCCAAGTATTGCCCCTTTAAAAGTGAGTAATTCCAAGAATTGTCCACCATTTGATTGGTTATGCACTAGTGCATGTTATGCAGTTGGCATCAAATTACAATTAGGACAAGAAGTGTCTCTGTAACACTTTAAATAGGGAAGTAATTATCGCAATTATATTAAATTAAAACAGTACACAAAATAGAGCAAGTGTATCGGATCATGTCCAGCAGGCACAATACATTAACATGCCATACACCGAGAGCTAAACGTACACAAACTAAAGGTAACTGCCTCTTTAACACATACTCATTCCTTGTTCAACGTGTACATACAGTGTATAAGCGGATTAGGAATTTAGGCAGAATAACCCCTTTAAACATGTGTCTTTTCTCAATGGTAAATTACGGTAGGCAGTTTCGTACGTGTATTCCAAATGACCCTTGAATGCTAAACTTGAGACCTGCATCAACTGCAACATGTCACCGTGATGAACTGGATCAAGCCCGATTATGTCTTCAATGCATTGCATGGAATTAAGTATTTGGCACACACGGGTATTGTGAGTCACGAACTGTAGAGTCATCGATACCAGTGACATTTTCTTCAGCTGTGATGCTGATTAATCTGAATTGTGTTGGCTTTGCTTACCTAAAGACCGGACTAGAAATCCGTGTAATCCCATAGCGTAGGCCTGTTGGCCATCTGGCACACATCTGAACAGAAGAAGGAATGAAGATGAAGAAAAAAAGTCAAATATTTTACTTTTGGTTTATGACTTTTGGCTCGTGAATTGGTTGAAGGATGTAAACTGAGTAAAAGCAAAATCTAAAAAACGCTTTTAGGCCATGTTTTCATTGAGAAAGAAATTTCATTTCGTCCATCTCCTGAATCCACACCCTGAAAATACCATATTTAATTTGCATATCTTACCGCAGCATGATATTTAAAGCCGGAACTCCACAAAAGACGTAGAACACAATGATAGCAGTGAGGACAACAATGAAGAGCCATAGATGACTACATGAGGCATGACATAGACCTGGTGTGGCACCACCGACAACAGAATCATTTAAATCTGTACACTCGCAATCACTGTAGATGTCCGTCTGTAAAATAAGACAACCATTAACTAAAAACCCTCCCAGATCTTCCAAACCAGAAGATTTGGAAGGACTCCTGCAGGATCAAGGAAACAATGAATTCCCTCTCTCTACAAGCCCCCTCAGAGTGGCTAACTCCCCCCCCCCCCTCCGTCCCCACCTGACCAAAGTTTATAACATGTTATTGTAAAGAATTAAATCACCTCACATTTTAGGAAATATCGTCTACACTATTTCAAATCCTGATTCATTGCTTCGGACTTTTGTTTTCTGTATGCTTTGACTTCACAACCTCAGATCCCCTACACACTTGGGCAAAATCCTAGACTTCATATTTGAAAGAAGTCTAGGATTAAAACATCTTCACTCTGCCTGTGTGCCCAAGTAACATTCTGGCCAAGGATAGATGATATTTTACCTGATCATCATAGCTTTGGCAGCCAGCATGACAGGCACTGAAGTAAATCATACCATTGTCACCACACACTGGTGAATAGAACTCCGTAGAGCAATCACATGCCGCATTGCAGGTACTTTCAAATGTCACACCTGTTAGTGACCTAGGAGCAAATGAAAGGTTTCATTAACAAAAGTAATGGCATCGTGATCTAAAGCAATGAATGCAAGATTTGCAGGTAGTCCTGCAGATTGCAGGTTTGAGTCCAGTCTGAGGTGCCTGTGTCCTTGGGCATGACACTTTACGCTTATTGCTTCTCCCTACCAAGGAGTAAATGGGTACCTGTGAGGGCAGAGATGGTCAGTGTGTTTGAAATAGCCATTTCCGCAGAACAAATGGCTGCACTGATTGTATATTCCTCAGTGACCTGAGATGTTATAAGGAATGTTTTATTGGTCCAATGATCAGAGATAATAATGTAATGCATTTTAATCTTTGTTAAAGGTGCTTGGTAATACTATAATAGGTTTGCAGAACAGTTAAAAATGGTGGTACAGTTTCAGTGTCATTTGAGGGTATACAAAATGTGTCCCCATACGCCACCCATGGTTGGCCAACACCACCCTCTACCGTTGCCGCATAAAGCCGTTAAGTTATATCCACCTGTTTCCATGGTAATCCTTAAATACACCTGCTAGAGGTATCTCATCGCATCTTAGAAGCAATCCAAGCATGAGGATGCCGTCCACAGCCGTGACTATCGCGCAGAGTTTGAGCAGTGCAGGGATCTTCATGTTGTAACGTTTGACAATCCAGCCACTGAAGAGGACCGTGCCGCCCCCAGCTATCGTGGCAATTACACCTAGGAAAAAAATTAGATTTTCAAAATTGTCTAGGGTGGAGACTGGAGAATCATGAATTCAATTACCTTAAAAATTCTGTATGTCCCCAAGGCCCATGTTACTGTACCTAGACCATCCATTTATGTCATTTGTTTTTTTCTGCAATATTTTATACATGTAGTTTCACGAATGTTAAACACTGTGTTATCCATAACTGGCTTGATGGGCAAATGGGAATGTTTGGGGGCTTTTTGGTAAGAATGAAGATTCCCTGTTGTGAAAAGAACTTGACCTTCTGAAATGTCATGAAATGACCACAGTAACCAAAAAAGAAAAGAAAAGGAAAATGGGTTCTACAAGTTTTCCAAAATGACAAAATAGGAAGGAAACCTTATTTTCCCTTCACGGTGTCAACGCCCCCATGTCCAATCGTACCAACTATCAGGCTGGCATCTCCAGAGCTGACTCCAAACTGGCTCTCAAGGAACTTGGGCAAGAAGGCCTGAGAGCCGGACAGGAAGATCACGTCTGCCGTTAAGGCCATGTTGAGCAACATGTAGGTGGGGTTACGGAAGAGAAGCTTGGTCGCCGTGGGCATGTCTCCCCACGTCAGGCCGAAGTCTTCCCTGCTTACGATTTCAACGCCGGATTTTGTGTGTGCCTGGGATGAGCGTTGGCACCGGTGTTTCTTGGTTTCTGCAGAGTACCAAGAGAAATTTTAGTTGGTTAATGATCGTGTGATTGATCTATGTTGTGTAAGGTGCCAAAACGTAACAGTGACAGTGTTAAGATGGCTTTCAATTCAAAACTTAAAAATCCCTTTATGTTTATAAACATCCACAGAATGTTGGGTTTTTTTTTTTTGGGGGGGGTGTTTTATTGGGAAAGGCAGGTATACCTTTGTCTTTTTATTGAATGTTATATCCTTGAATATCCTTTGTTATCAGAGCAGACTAGTGACAAGGGAACAGTACCAAATTTTGATATTTTTTTAACCCAGAAAAATAACTGATTTTCAAATTTTGTGACTAACGAAAAGATTACCTGAAAGTTCGACTGGGAAGTAGCTTATTGGCAAAGCTAAGAAAAGAGCGAAAATTGAACACAGAAGAAATCCCAACCACCATGCTCCTATCCATTCTCTGTTGGACGAGTCTATTCCTAAACTGTTATCACAGAAACACAGAAAAAAAGTTTAATAAAAGTGAGTGGTCCTTTTTAAAAGTTTTATTTAAAATGGGCAAAATTTGGTTTTAAAAACGGAGAGATAGCTTGAACGTAAAAAGAACAACGCCCACCATATTCAAACCTCTAGGATGCTGGCCATAACCCTTTAAAAGAAACCTACCCATACTTTTTTAGTTTCACCTTGCAATAAAAGTTGGACCAAACAAATGTAAGCAGTGATTATGAGTCACATTTAGAAAGCTGATTAAAAGTTTCTAAGAGGAAAAAATGCAAGCTATTCTAATTCTTTTATTAGTATCATCTATAAAATGTTCTGAGTTAGGTATTAACGCTCTTATACCCTCTGGTATAAAATACCATCAGATAATATATTCAAGGAATGAATATGGCTCAAGTAACTTACATGGATGTGTCTATCTCAAGAAAATCTGTGTAGACTTTGTCAAGGATGACCCCGGCTGCTGTGAACCCGATGGCAGGCCCCAAAGCCCAGCTGAACGAAAAAATACCTGTTGGTGAAAAATATGAGTGGATTGCGATTAGTGATACGTTTGCAATTTAATACAAATACAAAATACAATGTACCTAATTTCTTGCACACTTTGTTAGCGTTTTATGCATTTATGCGATGTTTGTTTCCAACTGGATTTTTGGTGAATGAAACTTGTAACTTTGTTACAATCTTTGGTTACATTTTTGTATACGTTTTCCTTTATGTTTGCATATACAAATACAGAGGAAACTGAACATCAGTGTTTAAATTTTGTTCCAAAATTATTTTTAAAATATGAAGGAAAATCTAGTCTGTGAAATTGTGGTAACTTTCTTACCAAGATAAAGACCAACTGATTCCATCCGGACACTCTCATCAATAAAGGCCGGTCCTAGGGAGTAGAGAGGGGCACATGCTGTCCCGAAGAAGAGGTTAGCAAGGATGAAGACATACCAATATCGTGACAAGCTGGAGATTTTGGATTCGTCCTCTTGGAAGCACTGCTCTGTTGGCAGATCCCTGATAGGCCTCGGTGAGCAAACATCGCTACGATTATTGACCGTGAACTGGTAGAGATCGGTGGTAAAGTGCGGCAAGGCGAATACGAAGGAACCAATAGCAAGGCTGACCAGGCCGGCGGCGAGCCATCGGGGCCGGTTGCCTCGCGCGCCGCAGTAGCCGACTAGAGCAAGCAAGAACGCCGCAATCACGTCATAAAAGGATGGCAGGAGACCCAGCTGAGAAGCTGACAACTCGAAACGTCTCTCCAAGCTGCTCATGGAGGAGTTTACGAGACCGTTGACGGCCACGCCTTGGACCATGGCAGCGCAACAGATGCAGGTTAGCAACCAAGGAGCTGTGTTGAATCGCTGGAAGCAGGAAGGCCTCCATGATCTCCAGCCGCAACGGAGATTCCTCCCAGGGATGGATTTCGAGGCGGTATCTTCCGGAGGACCAGAGCGCCATTCTTCAAGCTCCATGCCTACATGTACGCCGTCCATACTGCAAGCTGACGCCACAGCCATATCTCATCGACTCACTTTGGTATCTCAATATTTGACATCATAATTTTGAAATATTTGTTCGAGCTTGTACCATCCTACTTTGGGAAACCATTTCCTTGCTCTGTATATACAGACAAGGAAAACAAAACGACAGTAACAATGTAGACGAACTTTTCGGTTGAGGAAACTTTCAGACGGGTGTGGGAAGTGACTCACAGTGTATGTCTACGCAGTGCGGAAGGTCTGTGGCATCACTGACGAGACGCGCTTTGTTTGCACCAGTTCTCTGGGGAAAACTCAAATTTCTGACATTTTATAAGTGTCGCGTAAGGGGATATGTATTTCGGAAATGAGGACCATTGCAGCATTTTAAAAGGGAATTTTATTCATGAAAGCTGTTGAGTTCACCTTAATTGCAACAGCTGGCCCTATATCAGTTTCTTGTGACATTTCTTTTTAGCTTTGGCTTCTAAAAAAGAGAAAGCTTAGTATATATTTTTTTCTTACGGAGAGGCTAGGAACCGCATGGTCCTAATTTTTATTTTCGAAGGGCGGGAAAGAAGTAAGAATTTAGATTTCGCTCTATGAACAGCCTCTACCTCCATATCGACAATAATTATTCAAAAATGTTGGATAAGCTTCAACACATATATCTTTTTGATAAAGTTCATTTGGGTATCAAAACACCGACCATCGATACTGAATTAAAATATAACCTAGGCCTATGCATGTATAATGAGATGCTTGAAACATGGATCCATGCAGCACTAATATAGCAAAATTACAGATGTGAAAAAGACCTTACAAAAAATGGACGAAAGAAAATACAAATCTCCGCTGAATTGGTAAATATCTGTGTTGAGACTTGGGCCTATAAAAATTATACCGGTCTGTGCCAAACACCTTTTTTTCAGCCATGCATAGTTTATGTCTGGGGGAATAGGCTGGTGGATTCTTAAAAAATAATAAAAAATAAATGTGTCGATCAGTTTTGACAACTCGGAGATATCATATTTTACATATTTTAATAGCGAGCCAGGCGGGGACGCTGAATGATAGAAGCAAAATCGGGGCGGCGACATCGGCCTGTCGGAAAAAGCGTGCACGTCAGACGGCAGGGATGAAGAGCGCTGCCTACTGTCCGAGAGTGTCCATGAGTGTCCGCTTTTGACCGTGCCCCTAGGGCCTGCAATAAACTGCCGTAGACCCCAATGATAAATGCCCGGCCCCTAGCCGAATAGGAAGGTGAGAATCTATATGTGCCCCGATACAAAGAGTAGAAATCTACGCGTCTGCCTTTTGAAAATAATACACAATTGCGGTGTTCATTGTTGCGTAATGATCCGCCTAGCACACGACTGTTTTGCACATTAGGCTGTGTTATGCAGCTTTCTAACAAACCAAACACACTGGGCTCATTATATCGACTTGTTTTTACCCATTAAGGTAAAGCAAATGGACCCAGTAATCTTCCTGGCGCGTTTGCTCACCTATAAAGACAACTTTTCTCAGTTTCAGGAAAATTCTAAGGTAACGAAATGGCCGAGTGGTTACGTTTCGTCGTCCACGATTAGCGGGGTCCCGGGTTCGAATCCCGCTGGTGTCTTTTTGGTTTTTAACGTATGAGTTCAATCATTTACTATAAGAGATTTAATTTCCCGTCGTAAAGTACCAACAGTACCTTAGCTTAATCGGTAAGCACTGCTGCTGGTACTGTCCGCGAGTTCCAGGTTGGCGCCTTCGTACAGGTTCAGGGCATGTGGTCCACTCGGAGGATCAGGGCTTAGGGGCCGCCCTGTTCCTCCCTTAGCTCTTTGCTTTTACATGGTGCCTGGCCCTCCGGGGTTATATGGATGGATAGGGAAGGAAGTGTGTATTGGTCGGGGACGCCGAGACCCCGGAAGAGAACTAAGGGATCGGCTGGGGCATTGTTATGGCTCAGACCGATCCCTGAAAGCTTGACTAGCACATAACTTTTTGATTTTTTTTACCCTCTATCTTTTATACTTTGGTTTAGTTTGATATCTACAGCTGCTCGGCAGGTCTACGGGTAATATCAAAATTGAAACAAAGGTGTATGTCATAAATCAATGAATATTTCATAATTGACTATAATCAAAACGGACTTTCGTTTGATCAATTTGACTATCATTATATAATGACGCGATTGCCAATTGACGTAAGAAACGCCATAAATTATACCGGGAAAGAATAAAGATGTACATTGTAATATAAATATTATTTATACATCTTTCAAATAACGTGTCTTTAATTGTGAGCATTCCAAACAATACAGTAATTCGCAACAGTAATAGAATGGTATATGATAGCACGATTATTGCGTCTCTATTAAATTTAAAAAATATAATTTAGGCCCCTATGTGTGAAATATTCTTTGATTGACTATGATCTTCCATACGAATGAGTTAATTCGCAAAATATAGCAACAACAAAAGAGAAAGAAAAAGAGAACATTACTTTACCCTAAAAACTGGAAATATAATTTGTTTTAAAAAAGTCAAATGGGACACTTCATGTATTGATTTAACAGTTTGCAAGGAGTTAGCCTTACATTTTTAACAAAATTGGGAAAAAACAGATGTTTCTGGAAAATTGCAGATTGTATGGGGTTAGATGTTTATGAAACATTTCAAATTGTAAGGGGTGAACCTTGCATATTTTAGCGAAATTGGGCAAAATCAGATCTTTCTGGAAAATTTCAGATTGTAAGGGGTTAACCTTGCTTTTTAGTGAAATTTGGCGAAAGAAGATGTGGATGAAAAATTTCAAATTGTAAGGGGTTAAATTTGCTTTTTTAGTACAATTGGAAAAATTTAAAAGTTTATGAAAAATTTCAGATTGTAAGTGGTTAACTTTGCATTTTTAGCAAAATTGGGCAAAGTCAGATTTGTATGAAAAATTGTAAGGGCTTAACCTTGCCAATTTGGGCAAAATCAGATGTTTCTGGAAAATTGCAGATTGAAAGGGGTTAACTTTGCTTTTTTAGTGAAATTTGGCAAAGTTGGATGTTTATGAAAAATTTCAAATTGTAAGGGGTTAACCCTGCATTTTTGTAAACGAAATTGGGAAAAATCAGATGTTTTCGGAAAATTGCAGAATTGAATGGGGTTAACTTGGCATTTTTAGCAAATCTCGGCAATATCAGATTTTTATGAAAAATCTCGAATTGTAAGGGGTGAACCTTGCATTTTTAGCAAAATTGGGCAAAATGTTTCTGAAAAATTTCAGATGTAAGGGGTTAACCTTGCTTTTCAAATTGTTAGGGGTTAACCTTGCATTTTTTTTGCAAAATAGGAAAAAATCAGGTTTTATGAAAAAAATTCAGATTGTAATGGGTTAATCTTGCATTTTTAGCAAAATTGGGCAATATCAGATTTGTATGAAAAATCAAAAATTGTAAGGGGTTTACCTTTGCCAAATTAGGGCAAAATCAGAAGTTTCTAGAATTAAAATTGCAGATTGAAAGGGGTTAACCTTGCATTTTAAGCAAAATTCGGCAAAATGAGATCTTTATGAAAAATTCTAATTGTAAGGGGTTAACTTTTGCCAAATTAGGGCAAAATCAGGTGTTTATGAAAAAAATGCGGATTGAAAGGGGTAAACCTTGCATTTTTAGCAAAATAGGGCTCAATCAGATTTGTGTGAAAAATCAAAAATTGTAAGGGGTTAACCTTTGCCAAATTAGGGCAAAATCAGAAGTTTCTAGAAAATTGCAGATTGAAAGGGGTTAACCTTGCATTTTTAGCAAAATTGGGCAAAATCAGATGTTTCTGAAAAAAATCCGATGTAAGGAATTAACCTTAGTAAGGGGTTAAGATTGCATTTTTTTAGCAAAGTTGGGAAAAAGTTTAATGTTTATGAAAAATTTCAAATTGTAAGGTATTAACCATTGATTTTTTAGCAAAATGGGGCAAAACCAGGTGTTTATGGAATATTTCAGTTTGTAAGGGGTTAACTTTGCATTTTTAGAAAAAATTGGTCAAAATCAAATTTAAATGAAAAATCAAAAATTGTAATGGATTAACCTTGCCGAAATAGGGCAAAATCAGATGTTTCTCAAAAATTGCAGATTGTAAGGGCTTAACCTCACATTTTTAGCAAAATTTGGCAAAAAGAAATGTTTATGAAAAATTTCAAATTTTAAGGGGTGAACCTTGCATATTTTAGCCAAATTGGGCAAAATTAGACGTTAATGTGAAGATTCAAGCTGTAAGAGGTTAACCTTGCTTTTTTTGGAAAATAGGGCACCATCAGATCTTTCTGGAAAATTGCAGATTGTAATGGCTTAACCTTGTATTTTTAGCAAAATAGGGCAAAATCAGATTTGTATGAAAATTAAAAAATTGTAAGGGGTTAACCTTGCTTTTTAAACAAAATTTGGTGCATATTTTACTAAAATTGGGCAAAATCAGATGTTTCTAAAAAAAATTAAAGTTAAGGCATTAAGGCCCCCCCCCCCAAAAAAAAATTATTCGGTATCTGGTCAGAGATTTTTCATACAAATCTGATTTTGTCAATTTTCACTAAAAAAGCAAGGTTAACCCCTTTCAATCTGCAATTTTCTAGAAACTTCTGATTTTGCCCTAATTTGGCAAGGTTAATTCCTTACAAGTTACATCGGATTTTTTTCAGAAACATCTGATTTTGCCCAATTTTAGTAAAATATGCACCAAATTTTGCTACAAAAGAAAGGTTAATCCCTTACAATTGTAGATTTTTCATACAAATCTGATTTTGCCAATTTTCACTAAAAAAGCAAGGTTAACCCCTTTCAATCTGCAATTTTCTAGAAACCTCTGATTTTGCCCTAGTTTGGCAAGGTTAATCCGTTACATCTGGAATTTTTCAGAAACATCTGATTTTGCCCAATTTTTGTAAAATATGCACCAAATTTTGCTACAAAAGAAAGGTTAATCCCTTACAATTGTAGATTTTTCATAAAAATCTGATTTTGCCAATTTTCACTAAAAATGCAAGGTTAACCCCTTTCAATCTGCAATTTTCTAGAAACTTCTGATTTTGCCCTAATTTGGCAAAGGGTTTTTTTTTATTTTTCATACAAATCTGATTTAGCCCAATTTTGCTAAAAATGCCAAGTTAACCCATTACAATCTGATTTTTTTAATAAACACCTGATTTTGCCCTATTTTGCTAAAAAATGCAAGGTTAACCCCTAACAATTTGAAAAG